ACGTAAGTTCAGATGGAAACATAATAAAATAATTTTAGAAAATGAAGGACTGAAAACCTATAAGCTGTATAATAAATATATATAAAAATGTAGAATTTTTTGCAGAAAAGATACCATACACAGAATATACAAATAATACAATTCTTAAAAAAATAATTCATCAATTGACCGATAAATAGTTCATATATAATACACAGTGAGTTTTTACAAATGGGCTAGAAAAGACATGCAGTCTAGCAGAGAAGTTGGCAAAGAATGGGCAGTCCGTGTCTGACTCCAGGTGACCTTCTTGTGTTCAAAAGTGCTCAGGAAAGCAGTGTTCGGGCTCCCTGGCGGTGAGTGAAGCCCCGAGTCCACGTGGGTTGCCCATGGGGCTTAGCACCAGGGTCGGGGGGACCGGGCCGGTTCCAGCTGCGTCAGAAGGGAGCTCCTGTGGGGCTCCCTGTCCTGCATTATGGCCTTTTAAAAATTTTCCTAAAGAATAGTGTTGACTTTATCATTTTTAACATCCTTAGAGATTTTTAATCTTTGTTATATGTCATGCATTTTTATTGTTTCATATTTTCTCTCTTTGAGTTAACTCTAGCAATACTGTTATTGCTTAGTAATCATTACAAGCTTATTTTCTGTGAAACTTAAAATGTTCTTCTTTGGGCACTCCCTGGATGTGGCTTATTTAAAAGATCGTTAATCCTGGCATTTCGACTGGAGTAGCTGGTCTTATCATTTGATGTTTCAAATAAAATTTTCTTAAAATTGGTTTTAAAAACAAATCCTCTCTCCTTTAGTATCTAGACTGAAAGAAATGAAATCTGAATGAACATTTTTTAAAAAGATTTTATTTATTTATCTTTAGTGGGAGAGGGAAACAGAGAGGGAGAGAAATATCAATGTATGGTTATTTCTGTGTGTCCCCTTCTGGGAACTGGCCTGCAACCCAGGCACAAGCCCTGACTGGGAATCGAACCGTGATCATGTGGTTGGCAGGCCCGTGCTCAATCCAGTGAGCTACACCAGCCAGGGCTGAGTGAACATTTTTGATGCAGGAGAGTGTAAGTCATGAATATGCACAGCAGTTTGCGTCATATAGTTTGCAGCTGCAAATGCAAACCCTTTGACTTTTGCTTATCTTCTTTGCAAGAATATACCCCACAGAAGAGCGCATTGCAAGTGACACGTGACCATTTACTTCTCAGTCCCATTTTCAAACAGTAAACCCACTTGGAAGCTCATTTAAGTAAAAGCGTAGTAGTTACAGCAGGCGATGTCTCCACGGTGAGGTTTGTGGAATCCCACAGAGGAGTGGGCGCATCCACTCCATTATCTCCAGAAGTAAGCTTTCCGTTACCAAGTACTTTCCTTTTTAATCCTCATCTGAGGGTCTGTTTTTAGTAATTTTTAGAGAGGAAGGAAGAGAGAGAGTAAGAGAGAAACATCAATCAGTTGCCCTCCTTATCCTCCCAGACCAGGGATCGAACCCGAAACCTAGGTGTGCACCCCGACCAGGGATGGAACCACAAAATATTTTTGGTGTGTGAGGATAGCGCTCCAACTGGCTCAGCCACCTGGCCAGGGCAGGACTTTTCCCCTAATACTTATTTTTAATCCTCATCCAAGAACATGTTTCTCATTGCTTTTAGAAAGTGAGGGAGAGAGAGAAGTGTTGGTTGGTTGCCTCCTGTTTGTGCCTGATCAAGGATCGAACCCATGGCCTAGACTTGTGTCCTGACCAGGAATTGAATTGAAACCTTTGGTTACAAGGTGATGCTCCAACCAACCGAGCCAGACCAGCCAGGACTGTATACTTTTATGACATAATTCACAATAAAATTCATCCTTTTAAAGTGCACAATTCCTTGGATTTTTAGTCTGTCCACTGAGTTCTGGAACCATCACCACTACCCAACTGTGGAACATTATCATCACTCCAGAAAGAAACCCTGCGTGGTACCCAAAGTACATATCCGGACATTCAGACCCAAAATTACCTCGTGTATCACATGCGGAAAGAGTACATAATAACATGTATTTTATATTCATATAAAAATTTGTCAGAATTTCCAGCTTGCTTTCTGCTTGGTAAATAGATTTTTTTATGTTGCTTCGTTTCTTATGTTTTGTTCTCTCCAGGTTTCAGGGGGTTGATTATTTTGTTTGTATGGGTGGGGGCAGGGGAGGTCATGATCATGGTCATAGTCTTCTAAGCCCTGCTGTTGGCTGCAGGGCCCTAGCCGATATGAATAATGACGGGAGGATGGATCAAGTGGAGTTTTCCATCGCCATGAAACTTATCAAACTGAAGCTGCAGGGGTATCAGCTCCCGTCCGCACTTCCGCCTGTCATGAAGCAGCAGCCGGTAGCTATTTCCAGTGCACCAGCGTTTGGTGAGTTTGGAGAGGAACTGGTTCCTGTATTTCATTGTATATTTAAAAAATAAACGTTTCCCCCCCCCCCCCCCAGTTTCTAGCAGTGTGAAATTCAAGGAGGTAATTCTGTCCCCAAACTGATGGCCCCAGGAAGGAAGGTAGTGCTGCAGGAGGGGAGCAGGTCCGCACTGCGACCCTTGGACAAGGTGGTCAGAGTGAAAGCCAGGTCGCCTGTCGTTTCCCTGCTGTGGCCGGGTTCTCGACCCTCACATTGTCCCATGCTTCCTTTTGGTTTTCTCTTTCCATACACCTTTATTTTCCCTTTATGTATAAACAACTGTTTTGGTTTACAGTATCTCAAATATTTCAGTTCACAGTATTGAGGCAATTGGCCACATGAAATTCTCCCAGAATAAAATGAAGCAGGAAAAAAAATAAAGTGTTTTCCCTATTATAAACATAATTGTATACAATGTTATCTTTTAGCCAGATATTTTGCTTAAAAATCAATCAGTCATTAGTTGACTAAGATTATCAACTGTTCAGGTTTCTCCTCTGTTCTGACCCTGCACTTTGATTATTTAGGTTGATTATGGCAATCAGGTGTCGCGTCTGATTTACGGGAAAGTCCTCTCCGATGTGTCTGATGACAGGAGATAAAGTGACGTAGAGTTGGGGGGGCAGAGTAGAGATTCAGGTCATCTCTAGTGCAGTTGATGATGAGCTGAGTTAAATAAATGCTGTGGCTTTACTTGATAGATTTGCTATTAAAAACAAACTATGCATTGCCTTTCTTTGGTGAGGTTTAGCAACAAGACTGGTTTTTATCAGAGGAAAGGTCAGGTGCTGAGTTAGGCAAGCAGGACCGTGATCCAAGAGAAGAAGGAAAACCTCAGTCGCACGTGGGCAAAGGGCAGAAGTGAGCAGTGCGCAGGCCTCCAGTGGCCGGGGCCCTCGTCCCTCGTGTGTCCCCAGGGCCCAGCCCTTCGTTAACCAGCTTGCTCTAGCAGAAGTGGCTCAGAATCTCTGAAGGTCCCTGTGGCCACTGTTTGGTCAGGACCCACACGCTGAAACAGCTTCCCTTCCAGAGCTGCGAGAAGAAACCTCAGTGGAGAAAGGGTCAGATAACCAGAGGCATCCCGTTTCCCCTTCTTACCCCAGGCCTGGGGTCAGCAGTTCTTCCCCTGACACTCGACACGCTGTCTCTTATTCCATTCTGCTGTGGGAATTTCAGCTCCAGAGGGACATCGGATTTGTTGTCAGGAGGAGGTGGCCTCCCTGCCCGGTGGGCTTGTGGGTCACATCGGGAGCCGGCCTCTGCCGATCACGGCGCTGACGGCCCGCGCTGCTCCTCCCCGGGCTCCCCCACTGCCTTTCCCTCACTCTCCCCACATGTGAGCCCTTCTCAGTGAGCTCTTTCCAAGAGGGCGAGTCACGAGGAAGCAGCAGAATGTAAGACAAGTTAAAAGTACATGGTCCTGTCAAGTTTGCCCAAGTGTATCCAGAGATTTGGCCTCTACTGGTACTTTTAGTTCCATGTCTCAGCTCAACCCAGGGTAATTTTTTTCCTTACATTTCTGGCTACTTGAGAACAAAATAATTTACTACTGTGAGTGTTACTTTCTAATAATATTAAACATCATCTCACCAGGCATTTCCTAGCCCTTACACAGTAGGCCTGCACGTATAGTAGTTTATTTGCTACCACAATAACCCCCATTACATAAATGAGAGAACTGAGATTCCAAGGAGCTGAACAGTTTGCTTGACTGTGTTTCTGAAAGGGAGGTGGGGCGCGTCTGAAGCTCCCTGTTTCCTCGCTGCCCTCCCCCTCCCCACCTTCATTGTCACCAGCTGCCTGGTGACCTGGGGTGTCGCTCCTCGGGCTCTGCGTGTGCTGACGCCGTCATCGGCCCACCATGGGACGAGGCCTGCCAGGGCTCTGTCCTGCCCCTGTACGGAATAGGAGGGTGGGGTGCAGTGATGTCAGGGCTCGCCCGAGGGCACCCGGCTGCTCCCAGCCAGGCTCTGAGGATGCGGGCAGGGTGCGTGCGCGACTCTTCCTTACCCTGGCCCTGCCTGTTTCAAGAGAAGTTGCTCTTCCTCTGTTTGCTTTTTAAAAGTGTACTTATTTATTTATTTTTGACTGGGGGCCATGGTTTTTATTGAAGTAAATCAGTATTTTTAAGCCCTGACTGTGTGTCCTCGTTGATGGGAACATGGTGATGTGCAAGACAGTGGGGTTCCTGCTGCCGTGAAGCTGCTCATCAACTGGGGGAGCAAGCCAGTAGATAAACAATCAGTGTGATAGAATGGAGACCGGTGGGACAGGTGCTCAGGGAAGGGTTCTCCGAGGAGGTGGCATCTGAGCTACTCAGAGGTGAGAGTCACACGCAGACCCAGGGAGAAGCCCTCCAGGCCAGAGACCAGCTCGGTGAGAACTGGCAGTGAGAGCGGGGCCTGCAGACCTCGGACCTCCAGGGCAGGCGTGCGGACAGCCGGGGGTGCAGGGCCTGGTGAAGCCTCTGGGGGCTTAGAATTCCTTTTTCTCAGTGCAGTAGAAAGCTACGGAGAGCTTAAACAGTGGGGAGCTTGGTAATTGAGGAGAGATTGTCAAGAATGAAGACTGAGTCTGTGACCATTCCTAGCACTGATTCCTTTGTTGGCGTCCAGTGCTGCCATAAGCAGTCACACCTGTCGCGACATGCGGTCCCTGCTGACAGGCCCTGTAGAGTTACCAGATTTTCTGTGCGGTGGCTTCACACGTGTTAAAAACAAAACAAAACACAAAACTCGGCACAGTCAAGAGGGCTGGCTTCCAAAATACAGCCTTGGTGAATGTATTTATTTAAAAATATACAGAAAATATTCAGAAAAGGTAGTCATTTGGTAAAAGGATGAAGTCCTTGCGGTGGCTGTTTAAAAACTGAGTCGGTCACTGAAAATTAGGGAAAATCAGGATGTCAGAGCAGTTGCAGCGATGGTTCCTGGGGCAAGAAGACCTGAGCCGTCCGGAGCGGTCTGGGTCCTAGTAATTCCCCAAACTGGCCCAACAAGGCTTCCTTTTGGGACAGGGCTCCAGGCCCAGGGGAGATGACTGTGAGGGTGATCGGAATTGAGTGGGGGCAGCAGCGGCCCAGCAGCGGCCCAGCTACCAAAAAAGGAGGTCCAGACCAAAGAGGGGAAGGAGAGCAGAGACCGGAAGTCCCAGGAAGCAAGGCTCACGTGCAAGTGAGCGGCAGGTGGTATCTGCCAAGGTCAAAGCCCACACCGGTTATTATTAGGAAAAAATAAGAAGAAAGAAGAGTGAAATAACACCCCCAATCACAGTGACAGCAAGCCAGTAACCTGCCGTTTCAAAACGAGCTCATACTAAGAGAGGGGCAGGTCATAAAAGGACAACTGGGTCCGAGTTTTAGAACTTCAGGAAGAAGGGGATGGAACTCAGGATAGAGGGAGAAATAAAAGAAGAAGTCATTTCAGAAATGAAATTTAAATTAAAAGTGACACAAGCTATACTGTCTAGAGAGAAATAGGTAAAAAGAGGAAGATTTAAAAGGCAGTGAGAAAAGAGATAGATGGGGTATGAGAACAGCGACAGACACTGTAGGTAAAGTCAAGTACGGGGTTGGGTGGGGTCCCCGAGGAGAAAACCAGAGCAGGGACACCTGCTAAAAACCAGTTCAAGACAATCTTCTCGCAGTGAGAGACTTGAAACAGTATCTGATAGGGCGCAGCGTGTCCGAGGACTTGGACTTGGAAAGGCAACACTAAAATACGTTCTAGTAAAACAAAAAGTTATGTGGGTGTGTGGAAAAAGAAAGCCCATGACTCAGAAGAGAGAAAATTATAGTATTCGTAGACTTTTCCCTGGCTGTGCTTAATGTGGCAGAAGAAAAACAGAGTTAACATGTTTAGGATCCTCAAGGAAAGAAGGAACCAGGAATTTTGTGTCCAGAAACGCCACATCCACCAGTGTTTTAGCTCTCCAGACACACTTAGTATCTTGTAATTCAGTTCAGTTCTGACACTTCGTGCTCAGAGCTGTGTCAGATTCCACAGGTGGAAGAGCTTGTTCTCACAAGACTGTCCTCACATGAGTTACAGGTAGAGGGTCCCCAGGGCCCCCACACCTCTGTGTGACTTCTCCCCTTTTCTATAATTTGCTAGAACGGTGGACAGACTCTGGGAAACTTGCATTTGCTGGCGTGGTGTAAAGGATGTGATGAAGGTGCACAGGGTGGGGTCCGGAAGGGTCCTGAGCGCAGAAGCACCCGTCAGGTTGGGGTGCACCTCCCTCCAGGGTGTAGGTTTGTTCTCCAGCCCACCGGCTCGCCAGAGCCCGGCCAGTGGAGGGTTTTAATGGAGGCTTCTGTATGGAGACAGGGCTGACACAATCACAGGCCTCGGTAGTCTCAGCCTCCAGCCCTGTCCCCTGCGCTGAGGCCTGTGTGAGGTAGGGGTCGGGTGGGACTTTCCAGTCCACTAACCATGCCTTGGTATCATCTCCTGTCACCAGCTCCCATCCTGCAGCTGTTTAGAGACCCCTTGCCCCGCAGCCACCTCATTCAAATACAGAAAGACATCACTCCAGCCATTCCAAGGGTCTGAGCAGTTCTTGTGTCAGGACCCAGGGACCAAGACCAGCCAAAGATGCCCCTACCAGTCAGGAAAGCACAGGGGTTCCGGAGCTCCACCGGCAACCGGGAGCTGGACGGAGGCCAGCGGTATAAATTTCTTACTACATCCCAGGTCACGAGCTGAGACGGAAACAGGAGGGAAGGGCTCATCTCAGCTCTGACATTTTTTCATTTTTTGGTTGGAATTCTTCTCTCGGGAGAAACCTCCCCGTGGAGTGGTCGGTTACTCAGGTGCGACGTGTAAAGGCAAGGCGGGGCAAATACTTGATTTAGTCTTTCCCCTTTACTTACTGGTTTACTTACTAGTTTCAAAAGTAAATGGACCAATTAGGACTTTTTGGCTCATTTGTTTTAAAATGCCGTTACACATTCATGAATTTAACTCTCTTTGGTGGCTTTTGGTCGATCCTTAACTGTGTGGCTAGTAGATCCTCTTCGGGCGGGTCTTGATCCTTAATGTAATTTTTGCTACTCTTCAAAATGACCGCTCTGAATTCGTATTCTACATGGGAATGTATCACTCCTGGAGAGTGATTTTCTTCTTCAAACAGTCCTGGGTTAATTGTCATCAAATGTTGACGTATGACTCCGTGTGAATTTTGTCGGCATCTCTTCCTTCACAGGTATAGGAGGCATTGCCAGCATGCCACCGCTCCCGGCCGTTGCTCCAGTGCCAATGGGATCCATCCCCGTTGTCGGGATGTCCCCACCCCTGGTCCCCTCCGTCCCGTCAGCAGCAGTGCCTCCCCTGGCCAACGGGGCCCCTGTCATTCAGCCTCTGCCTGCATTTGCTCATCCTGGTATGTGACCCAGTGAAGCCACAGGCTGAACTTTCACAACTTGGATTCTCAGTCGATTTTCTGTCTTCACTTTCTGGTTATGTTTGTGCTGTTTTATTCCAGAGGAAAATATCTTCATTTTTTTCATTTAATTTCTCATTTTTTTCAACATGCCAAATGGATGTGCAGGGCTGGAGAGGGGAAGGAGAATGAATTAGGGCTTTGGGTACCACTGCGTTCAAAGGTGAACTCGGCAGCTGAAACCAGAGCGTTATTTCCCTTCAAGGGCTTGACAAAAGCAATTGAAGTTTGAATGGCGGTTGAACATTTTGCATTTCCATGTATCCCTTACTACTTTCCTTCAGCTGCTCTGAATTGCTAATGAACAAGTCGATCCCTTCAGAGTAGAGCTATGGGGGGTGGGTTAGGGGAGGGAGGGAGAGCACTGCTCCTTGTTACTGTTGGGGAGGGGGAGTGAACTGGGCAGAAAGGGGCAGGAGTTCCGTTCAGTGACCACGTAGACTCAGGTCCTGGTATACATATGCGCTTAATTGACTGGAAGGATTAAAAAGTTCCTGGTTAATGTCAAGACTTTATTCAAAGTCTTTTTCCCTGTAATTAAAGGCATCAAATGTAGAGGTAGACAGCCTTAGTCTAACAAATTTACTGAATTCAAAGCGATAAGGAAAGTGCATTTTAAAAAGTATTTTGAATATGTTTGAGTCAATTTAGTGGTGATGACATTGCGGCATTGAGCATTATATTTGAATCATCGTTTTTGTGCCCAGCCCCCTGGATTTATTATATCTGTCTGGGTGTGTCTTTAGGTTATAGCCAAAGAATGTAAATGTACCCCTTCTGAAAAACATTCTCTTGTCACACGTAGTTCATCTTTCACCCACGACTGCAGATGTGACGGCAGCTGGAACGTGCTTGCTGTTGTTTTCCCAGTGATGCCAGTGAACCCACGCCCTTCCTTTTGTGGCTAGGGGCAGATGTTGCCAGACTGCAGGCCAGGATGAGGGCTGCATTCCCTGGGGTTCACAGTTCTTTGCCCCGGGCCACAGCCAGGCAGCCTCTGAGAGTCAGACCCAAAAGCTGACCTTCCCTAGGGTCCCACGCCCCCTGCCAGGACTGCCAGTCTATGAGCCTGAGACTCACACTCCAGCCCCTTCAGTGCAGTCAGGAACGTGCCATCCGAGTATTTAGGCTGCTTCTGCGTTAACTGTGGACAGCTCCTTTCAGATGTGATACTAAATGTGTCCTGAAAAGTCAGGGTTCATGGTTATGAACATTACTACTTTGTAAGGGGACTTTGCGTAGGAACAAGGAAGTCGGGGAAACATTTTTGGCAAGAGGACGGGAGGCAAGGTGGGAATAACTGTTTTTGAGTCCAGGATGGGAAGGAAGGTGGAATAATTTTGCCACAGACTTGATGACTGTGCGTTTTAATTTTTGTAAACAGGGAAAAGCTTCTCATCTTTGTAGAATTAAAATTATTCAACATTTATTTATTTTTACAGCAGCCACATTGCCAAAGAGTTCTTCTTTTAGTAGGTCTGGTCCAGGGCCACAGTCAAACACTAAGCTACAGAAGGCACAGTCATTTGATGTGGCTGGGTGAGTATGTTTGCTCGTTTTCAGTTGGGTGATTTGGTTCAAGTCCTTGTGACGTGAGAGTGAATGCACTGAGATTTTCTCAATTCTGGATAATGTGACTAGGTTTTATCACTTAGTTGTTGTAGAGATGACAGAATCAAAGACACGACACTCTCTTTAAGTGTTGTTTTTCTAACAGGATAATAAATAGTAGTAAATGATGAATAAAATAGAACTCGAGGTATAAGGGAAAGAGCAATGAGCTATTTTGTGTTAATCAGTAAAAATTGATAAAAATTTTATGTGAAGGTTAGAGCCATAATTGACCTTATTTTAAATTCTAGGTCAGATAATCTTATGTAGTCTATGTGAATTGTTAGTAAAACCTTATTTAAGGTCAATTTTTATGAGATGCCTTATTCAGATCAGTGGATAGTTGTTACTAACCAAATATGGGGCTCAATTTTGGCAAAGCTTACATGATTTTATTGCTTATATTTTGACCAATCTTGGTTTCATACTATCTTTCATATTTTTATTTTCCTTTACCCTTATTTTTTTGCTTGCAAATGACTTCACTAAGATGAAAAATTAAGCTCCCTTTGTAAGCTATTTCAAAACTTTTGGAATGAAAAGGGAACATAAGTAAAGACGGTTCCATCCTTCCTTGTTTCAGTCCTCTTTAGAAATCTTCCCTCAGCAAACCAAGTCACTGTTCTGCTTTAAAGAGAAAAGTGTGTTGGATCTAATTCAGTACTTCATTACCTTTTAAAAAGGGATTTAAAGAAAATCCATAAACCGAAAAGCACTGTGCCAAACGCTTAATGTAGATTAACTCAGTTAGTGTTCACCTTCCCTCCAAAGTGACTCTTCCTTCTCTGTGCTATGATGAGGGAGGAGCTGAGGGACCATTAGTGACTTGCTCGAAATCACATACTCTTAAGTAATAGAGCCCAGAGTCAGACTGAGGTCTTTCTGACCTTAAAGCATGTGTTCGTAACTGTGGAATTTTGCTCCACACGCTTCAGTTAATGTGGTATGGAGATATTTGTGTTCCACTTAATTAAAGTTCTAAGATTCTGGAACCTTTATTGAGCATCTACTTACCAGAGAACTTATTAATCCCATTCAACCCTCACATCCTCTTATGCAGTGAGTATTGTCTCAGAATTGTGAATTAGGAAATGAACCCAGAGAGGTCGAATTCCTCCCCCGTGGGTTACAGCTTACTCGGCGGCTGGGCTGAGATTTCAGCTCTGACCACCTAACACTAAATTCCATTTCTTCTTTCTCCAGTACCATGCGAAAGTTTTGAGTTTTCTCTGACTCTGCACAAGGGGCCTTGAAATCTGTCTTAAAGTTGATTTATGACATTAGAACAAATAAATAGTATTAGTGAACATTTGTGCTATTAATACAATTGTGTTTTTATAGGTGGTCATCTTTTCAATAATTTAAATTTCTAGCAAATTCTTGTAATGTGGCATCTAACTTTTTGGTTAGCTGTGAATGAATTTTTAGTCCATTTAAATTCTCAGGAGTTTGCAGAAAACTGTGACTCAATAAGTGTAATCTGGGGCCACTTCTGTGTGTAACACCCCGCGCCCCCGGGTGCAGGGGCGAGATAACGAGCTTGTGGACAAATAGGCAAGAGTTGGAATTAGCAAAACACTAGCTTAAAATGAGGGAGTTGTTACAGAAGTACGCACAACAGAATAGATATTGGTAAGTGTTTTTTATTAAACATTTATTTGTAAAACTTGAAAAAGTGAATTCGTACAGGAGCTTTTCAAGTGGTTGAGGGCCATTTCCTGTTCTTCTGAAGTGCATGTAGTAAGTGTAAGTGCACAGGTAACATGTAAATGATGACCTGGAGGTTCAGTCTGTGATTAAAATTCAGCTTTTACCTGTGGGAATGGGTATTTTTGTTGAAATGAGAGGAAATGGCAAATGGGGCATCAGTTGCAACCTGGCCTGGAAATGGAATGTCATTTCACTGTCATGTTTAAACTCTTGGGCTCTTAACGAGCCATGGCTCCTCCAGCATGGCACTCTCGTGGGACCTGCTCTCAGGGCTCAGCAGGAGCCGCTTGAGACCGGAGCTGCCTGCTGGCCAGGCTGCCTCGGGTCAGGGCAGCTGGCAGAACTCGAGCTCCTCCATTGCTGCCGCTGGGTTGCCAGGGCCCTGCGAATGTTCTCTTCTTTCTGGGACACTCTCCATTTGTGGGCATTTAAACTTCCCAGGGGAGAATAGTTCCCTTTCATTAAGAAATACATCCTGTATTTTGCTGTGTAGAAGGTTAAACATTTTAAAGAGTTAATACCCATAAAGGAAGTTATTTGTCTGCTATCAGCATTGCTTTTTAAGCCAAAAGAAATTATTCTAGGAGTTTAGAAAAGCCCGGGCATTACTTTGGAACATCTCAGTTCCAAGGAGATTTTCCATTCTTTTGTAGGACCTCTAGATTACTAAGTTGTGTATATAACTGAAACAGTCGCTCAGTCTGTTACGTTTTCACTTGGTTCTGGAAAGATCATAAGCTTACTTGTATCTGTTCCGAAAGAAATGTTTATAACCTTAAAAAATGGATGTGCTCATCACCGAACGTTCAGAAATTGTCGTTCGAGAGTGAATAAAAGGATAAAGCTAGTTTTCTGGAGAAGTTCTGAGTGTTTGAGGAACCTCCATAGGCTCTTTGTTCTTTCCTGCTCACCCCCGCCCCCTCCATCTGTCCCCAGGGCCCCCCCGCTGGCAGAATGGGCCGTCCCGCAGTCCTCCCGGCTGAAGTACAGACAGCTCTTCAACAGCCACGACAAAACCATGAGTGGACACTTAACAGGTATTTACAAAGAGAAATTGACTTAATGAAATGTGATCTTTGTTTTAATGCAGATTGTCTCTAGACGTTGGGCAGAGGTATTTTCCAAATGCCTTTCTCTGTTGGCTCTTTTTTGGACAGGGTTGTCATTGTGGTTTTTATAATGAGTTCTCATCTACTGATAAAGCCATAGCTACTTTATTCTTTAGCGCCTCAGACTTCCGCCCCATCGCTGCTTGGTGAGTGGGACGGAGAGCACAGACCCTCCGGCTTGCTGAGTGCCGCTAGTGTGCAGGTCAAAGCGCTGGCAAAGAAAAAAGTGCTGCAAACAAGACTGCTTCAATTTCTGGAGAAACTGAAGCCCAGCCTTGGAGATGAACTTGAAATGGCTCGTGCACAGCCAGCGTTTAAGGCAGTGTGGGTGGGGGAAGGTGACTGTCGGCTGGGGCGTCTGGAACCCGCTCTGCCACTGACCAGCTGGAGGCCACTTGTCCTATCTGGGTCTAACTTGTGTGCGAGGCCAGAGTTGAGGTGCAGGATCTCAATAGATTTTTTTAAATCCTCACCCAAGGGTTTGTTTATTGATTTTAGAGAGAGCGTAAGGGAGAGAGAGAAAAAGAAAGAAAGAAACATCGATGTGAGAGCCCTGGCTGATGTGGCTCGGTTCGTTGGAGCATTGTCACAAAACTGAGAGGTAGTGGGTTCGATTCCCGGTCAGAGCACACACCTAGTTGAGGTTTTGATCCCTGGTCTGGGTACATGTGGCAGACAACCAATCGATGTTTCTCTCCATTCCTCTGTCTCTAAAACCAATGAAAAAAATGTCCCTAGGTGAGGACTTATTAAAAAAAAAAGGAAAGAAACACTGATGTGAGAGCAGCATCAGTCGGTTGCCTCCCACGCCCCAACCGGGATCAGACCCCCTACCTTTTGGGGGGCGGGGCAGCCTTCAACCACCTGGGCCACCCGCCAGGGCTCGGTGGGTTTTTACAAAATTTGTCATCTATGTGAGAACAGGGGAACGCGTTGTAGGGTGCTGTCCAGACACCTTTCTAATGAGGGATCAAACACTTAAAACTTTTCAGAAAGTTATAAAGCAAAGTGTAATTTTATAAAGGAAAATAGAGACATCTGATAGGAATATCAAGTGCAAAAGGAAAGAATGTAACTGCCAGTTAACAGATACGAAAGGGAAAGTGGGCCAGCTCATTTTCTTGGAGTGGAGAGGCCCTGGTGTGTAACTCAGACACTCTTGTCGGATCCCCACTGTCTTCTCTGCTGTCACTCACCATGGTAGTTTCCACTTCTTAACAGAAAATTTTCCTCTCGTTTAAACAATGTCAGGACTGGGGGATACTTTCGAAGGGTTCCGGTCCAGTCTTAAACCCCATCCGCATGGAAGACCTCAGCAGTCATCTCAAGCATCTGTTGTAACTGAGGGGGCGAGTTATAAGTCTCCCCAAATTCTCTCTGTGTCACTTGTGGTGTGTTTTTTACGCAGTGTGGAAAACCTGCCCAGCTTCCCGGGGCCCCGAAGGTAGTTCAGTAGTGTAGTTGTAAGTACTGATTAACTCGGTTGTTTGATACCAGTGCTCCCCGCAGACCCAGAACTGCACGGGGTTCTGAAAACCGTTCTTCAGAGCACTGCTGGCGTTTGCTGTGAGCTAGTTAAAATAGTGCTCAGATGCGGCACTGGGTAGACGTTCTCTCTCGGCAGGATGTGTATTTCGTGACTGAAATGCAGTGTCTTCACCCCAAAGGTAACGACCCCGGCACTTGAGTACATAGACTGTTTAATATCTGAGGTGGGAAGTAAAATTTAAAATATACTGGAAAGAGCAGATTTTACTAATGTTTATCTGCATACTTACTGCTCTTTTGTCCTGGCAAAGAATTTAAGGTAGGTATTTTATTTTCAAATTAGATCTTTGTGTAGTCACATCAAGTAGAATAACTCATTACAATAAATTTTAAAATGGGAGTAAATAAAATTCAGTTTGTTCCCCCTTTATGAGAAATCACTACAAGGGTATGTGTTGGGCTATACAGGACTGTTGCCGGAAGCAGAGCTGCTCTGTTGAGGGGGATGAGATACGAAGACCATGGTCACGATCAGGGTTCTGACAATAAACACATGACTCCTGAGCCCCCAGAGGAGTTACTCATTCAGCCCAAAGAGGAAGAGTTGAGAAAAGGTCCCAGAATATAAAGGAGCCCAAGTGAAATACATAATTTCATATTCTTAATCTCTTATTTTTGTTCCTGCATTGTTTTCTGGTGTTTTTTTTGTGTGTGTGGTTTCTCGTTTTAAAGGAACTTAAAACTTTAAAAGTGCCCTGACGGGTGTTTTTCAGTGGGTTGGGTGACATCCTGCAAACTGAAAGGTCACCAGTTCAATTCCCAGTCAGGGCACACGGCTGCATTGTGGGCCTGGTCCTCAGTTGGGGGTGTGTGGGCAGCAACCAGTCAATGTTTTTCTTATACGTCAATGTTTCTCTCCCTTTCTTTCTCACTCCTTTCTCCTCTGTCTAAAAGTAAATAAGGATCAAGGGGGAAAAATTGGGACAACTGTAATAGACCAAAAATAAAATATTTTTAAATTAAAAAAAATAAAATAAAAATTAAAAAAACTTATAAAGCATTTTTTTATGTAATTGTAATTTCTTAATCTAATACAACAGTTCTCAACGTTGGGGATGTGACATCCTAGTGTTACGAACACCATTTCAGTGCAGGAGTAGTAACGTTTTACTACCAGTTCGAGGACAGTCTGGGGCACTTACCGTCACTTGCACTCCCCTGTGTTTTGGAGGGAGTGGGACTAGCTAGTGCTCCCAGAACTACACGTGCCCTGCGGGCCAGCGGGCCTGTGCTGCGGCCTGTGGCCCGTGCCTGCTGGAGACGTGCTACTGGAGCTCAGGGATTTCTCATCGCCACCGTGCTTACTTTCTCACCCACGTTTGGGTGCCCTCAGGTGGTGGCTGCCCCTCTGAGAGCGTGTTGCGGGCCTGCAGGTGCCATCGATTGGTCCCAAGTGGAAGGAAGTGAGAACCTGAGCTTGTGGCCCGAGCTTGTCCACCGTGGTGTGACGCTAGTGCAGCAGTGGGACAGTTCCCCCCATTGATCCTGGGTTGACTGAATGAGCACCCTGGTTGGCGGCTGCCTCCGTTCTTCACAAGCTGACGTGTATGCTCTCGCACACTCTTAAAAGAGACAGTCTTGTCAACTAGAGCAGGCTCGTTCCTTAGTCAGGACTCCGCAGAATTCTCAGACTCCTGTGAATGCTACCCCTCTTCTCAGAGAGCTGTTTTATCGTCTTCTTACAGTCCAAAATAACGAAGGTGCTAGTGTGGTTATCCATGTATTAATCACAGAGGTCAAAGCCATTGTTTGCTGTCAAGCATTAAATTCATTTAATTCTCCGTTCCTTCCATTCATGCTTCCTTAACCAAACACGAATGCCCAGAGCAGGATTTATGAACTTGAGATTTGTATTTGTCCCTGTAATGTTTCCTTATTGGCCAGTACCTCAAAACTGATATCCTTTTACAAATGTAGGCTTCCACAGGGTAGTTCTGTGGCTTGGAGCTCGAGTTTATGCTGTTCTCTTTGGCTGAGAGGCCACCTTAAATGTTACTCTCTTTCAATGTTTCACAGCCTTGTCTTAGGACGTATAATGGAGTCAAGCGTTAGAATTGCAAAACACAACTGATCTCCCAGTGCAGAGCTCCACACAGCCTGTCTGTAAAGAGCACAGTAGGAAACACCTTAGGCTGACGGTCATACAGGCGCAACCACTCAACTTGCTGTTATGATATGAAAGCCGCCGTAGATCATGCTTAAATGAATGGGCATGGCTTTGTTTCAGTAAAACTTTATTTACAAAAATGGATGGTGGGCCGGATATGGCCTGTGGGCCGTGGTTTGCCAGTCTCAGTTCTCGACCACGTCCTTCATTCAGAGATGAAGGACATTCCTCTCAGTGGAAGCAGTCTTGTCATTGTCGCATTAGGAAGTGGGAGGAGTCAGGACTGGAATTGTGTCTTGTGATAGTCAGGTCTGGGGCTCATTCTTTTCATTTATTGTTACACTTTTTATTCGGAGTAGGTGAACTACTGTTTAAATGTGGTTCTGAAGTAAGGAAAATTTTTACAAGTATAAATTAAAGCATTCACTAAAGTTTTGCTAATTCATCTTTAATGCTGCCAATTCTAAATCCAGTGTTTGAGACTAAATAAACTGATCAGTGACCTTTTTTCATTCCAGTATATCACAGAACCTGTAAGAACTTTCCTATCAATTTAATAAAGATTGTTTATTATTCTTAGATGTTTCCAGTGCACACCCAACCGGAATGTGTACATATGTTCACCAAAACTTAGAGTGTTCACTGTTCGTAGCAGCTCCAACTGCGGTTCACTGTATAGTAGTTTGGATTATGTCCAACAGCAATGGACAGTAGTGTGTGGGCGAAATAAGCCAGACTTGACATTGACACAGAATGCCACCAGAAGTCAGGGTATGCTCGGTGGGAGGGGATGATCGAAGGGAATTTCAGAGGGGCTTCGGAGTGCTGATTCACGATCTGGGTGCTGTTCACTTGACCATGTCTAGTCTGGAATTGAACTAAGCTGCATATATCCATGTACACATGTGAAAATACATAAATATAGACCAATGTGGGTTTTTTTTTGCCCATGTTTTATACGTAAGTAGAAGTTAAAATATTGTCAGCTGTACTAACTACCATTTATTGAACACTTTCTATGCGCTAGCACTGTGCTAAGCTCCACATTATGGCTCCTTACACGATGGGTTGTAGAGTTGTGAGTCTGGAGAGGACTCCTGAAATGAGCAAACCGGGGTCCAGCAAGTGAGGGACTGCCTGCCCGGTTCACACAGCAGGCTCCAGACTGAAGCAGGACCAGCGCCCACAGCCTCTGGCTCACCAGGGCTTTTTCTGACGTTCTCCGGAGGTTCCTGTGCCAGAACCTGGCGGCGGTGCTCAGAGACTCCTAGCCACTACTGCGTGCTGTGGCAGAAGGTCTACTTCTGTGATTTTTGGTGAGGTGCTGAGTGAAAAGTGAAAGAGCTAGAAGCAGCAGTTTGCACCCAGGAGCCTTCCCAACTTGCTTGCCACTGCTTTCCGCTCCGTGGTTCAGCAGCCGTCCTGGGACCATGCACCTCCCACGGCAGTGCTGGCAATGAGACGTTCATTAACCTGGTGCTGATTTATTGAAACATGCAGAAGCTCCCGTTGTAGGCTTTGTCTGGTGCTGAAGGCTAGTTTAATTCCCAAAATGAAGACATTTACAAGTACTGTAAGAAGTGAGAGCTGACTTTGAGAAGAGTTGAACTTCTAGGAGTTCTTTTTAACTGCTGTGATATTAGCCATTTGTGCGGCCTGGAGCAAGTCGCTTTTTTCTAAGTCTGTGTACGAAGGGTTAGAAGAGTTTGCGCTATGATCCTGTTGTCCTCTAAAATTCTCTGAGACTTCTTGAATTTGTCTGGTATTAGTCATGGTGGAGGCAGCAGCTGGTGGCAGAAGAGGCTGAATTTAGAGAGAATATGTTTCAGCCTTGTAAATAAAAGCCTGGTTCTTTTTTCCCTTGTATGTATGCATGTATGTATGTATGTATGTATGTATGTATGTATTTATATTTAATTGTTGTTCAAAAAAGCCTGATTCTAATAGAGATGGCAGTCTGGGCCAAAGGACAGGTTATAGTTTGAAGGTAATCTTTTACGTACTCATTCTTCATGAATCATCATTTAACAAACATCAGGTGCCAGATGCTCTACTGTGCTGTGTGTTTCTTCCCTTCTTCCTTGGGGTTTACTTTTCTCTTTGAAAAGCCTCTTAAGCAACAGCGAATCTCGTTGAACGGACCGCGATCACCAGACACCACACAGCACTTGTGTGCGGAACGCTGGCCTCGCGGACCGCACTGGTTTGCCGACTCAAACTCACACTTCTTCCCGGCCTCTCTCTAGGTCCCCAAGCAAGGACGATTCTTATGCAGTCAAGTTTACCACAGGCACAGCTGGCTTCCATATGGTAAGGGATGAAAAGTTCCTTGGTTTGTTTACAGTGGAAATTTTGTTTCTATGTTTGTTTTTTAAATGTGGCGTTTTTTTTTTAAGATTTTATTCATTTATTCTTAGAGGGGAAGGGAGGGAGGAAGACGGAGAGAAACTCTGGTGTGTAAGGGGTACATCTAATGGCTGCCTCCGGCAGGCCCCACCTGGGGACCCGGCCCACACCCCGGGCATGTGTCCTGACTAGGAATTGAGCCGATGACTTCTCAGTTCAAAGGCTGGCGCTCAGTCCACTGAGCCAAGCCAGCCAGGGCTAGAAACTTTATTTCTTAAATTAGTCGGGCCTCATCAGTATTTAGATTAATACCACTGTTTATAGAGGTGATATGCTTAATTCATCTATGAATTAAGGAATTCAGGAATATGCTTAATTCATCTATGAATTAAGGAACATGCTTAATTTTTTTATGACTTGTAATGATTACCTGTTTTATATTTTCTCCTTTGGATTTTGAAAAACACAAAAGCAAAGAGATTGATATAGTAATTTCTCAAGAACTTATAAAAGAGCTTAGATAAGTCTCAACTCATGGCCAGTCCTGGTCCTCCTCTCCTCTGTCCCGATTATTGTCACGGTATCATTTTCATCTACTAATAATTCAGCTTTTATCTCCAGAAGAGATGGGTTTTTCTTTCCAACATGACTATAATATTTAGCCTACCTAAATTTTTTAATAGTAATTCTTAATTTAATCAGATAGTGTTCAAATTCCTTAGACTGCCTCATAGTTTTTTTTTATGGTTGATTGAAATAAATGTATTTTGCAGGAATTGGTTGATGCATCTTTTAAGGCTGTTTTAACCTATAAGCCCTTCTTGTCTTGTTCTCCACTCCTTGCCCCCTCGCCTTCCCCCACCAAAACCCTGATCATTTGTCTGATAGCTTCTTATAGTCTACTTTTGATGGTTGATTCCTTGTGATGTTAATTTATTCCTGTAATCTCTGTAGATTGCTAATCACAGCTAGAGCAAGGTTTTTCCGCCTGAGCATGATTAACATTTTGGGCTTGACAGTTTTCTGTGGGGGCCTGTCTGGTGCATTGGGTAGCATCTCTGGCCGCTACGTACTAGGTACCTGCAGCATGACCCCACCCCCAGAGGTGACAGTCAAAAATGTCTCCGGAAATTGACAAGTGTGCCCTCCCTGTTTTCTGCAAGACTACATCAGAGATGAGACTGTGCGCTTCCACCAGGAGGCACATCGCTGTCATTGTCGAATTGTAATGATCTTTAACAGCTGTGGCTGAGCCTTGCCCGGGTCCTACAGGATTCCTTACGTGTAAATGTTAACCAGGAGGGTGTCTGAAGAACTGTGTGTCTCAGTTATGCGTGGGGCGTTGCTTCTGCCCTGACGGTAAACCTGGTGTGTGCTGCTTCCCACCACGTTCGCGATTTGCTGCAGAGCGCAGCGATGCGGTTGCGTCCTGGGGGGTCCAGCTCCAGTGCTGCCCCTGTCCCCACCCTGGTCCCTTCTGCTTTGTACCAAAGGGTCTGCCTTTTGTAGTAGCACAATAATAGACCAGTTAATAGATACGTATGTCTGAGGCACATCCAGAGCTCTGTAGGTCTGGATATGTACCAGTATCCTAGGGCCCTCTGAAGTGTAAACTTAAGATCTAACATTTATGGAGGTTGATTGGCAGTTTATTAAGTTCTCATCATCTTAGAATATATTGAAGTGTTTAAGTTTCTTATAACCTGCCTTCTTTGAAAAACATACTTCAAACTTCTCATACTAGGATTTTATTATATTCTCCTTCTACACAGTAAAAAGATATTTTAAGTAGTGAGGATCAAACCATTATTTAGGCAGATTGGGGTGGGGGGGAGATAAGAATTGTACTGCCTTCTAATTGGGCTCACCTGGGAGTGGCTAGCAATAGGGTGTGGAAAGGGGAGGCCAAGGGTGGGGTTTTCGTTCGTGCCTCTGTTCTGTTTGAAAACAAGTGTGGCATCTGGAAAAGGCATAACTGGAGGACACAAAGGAGATCAGTGGTGACCAGGGGCTGGGGGCAGGGGAAGGGGGTGACTTCGGTGCTGAAACTCTTCTGTACATAGTGTTGATCATACACAGTGTGTTCAGAACTTGTAGGACGTGCTCTCCAGAGGCGTAAATGTTACTGGATGGAAACTTTACACCTTTACAAAAAAGAGTTTATGCCACCTGAGGAAGTTTCAGATTTAAGAGGAGCGTTTTGATTGAAGGCATCAGCCAAGCCAGCTTCCCAATGTAGCATCTGTCGCCGACTGACATTCTCAGGAATAGCTGTGTTGTTCTGCATCCTCTCTTGGTGCCCACAAGTCAAGTATAATTACATTCTTGGACTTGCTAGCACAGTCTTTTTACTCTAAATAGCCACTGGAGTAAGTTGATTACAAAGAATTGTGGGGATTGAATTCTGAGACTAAAGAGTGGAAAACTCCTTACCGGTGGCTGGAGGCCATAAAGGTCCACCGTGTAGGCCTAGATCTGGGGTTGGCCTGTGGAGCCCAGCGAGCTCACACCTGTTTCTGTAAATGCAGTTTTATGGTGGAAACAACCCTGGCCGTTAGTTTATATTTCGTCTCTGGCTGCTTTCCTGCCACAAGGGCAGAACTCAGTGTGATGGAGACTGTGTGCTACAAAACTTAAATATTTACTATCTGACCCACTAGTTCGCTGAGCATAGTATTTAAATACATATAGAATATAAGTACGATACACTGTAAATGGGCTTGCAAGGATCGAGAAGAGTGTAATTATACCATAGGTAACATTTATTGAGTGCTGACCACCATTTCAACTATGTGGATATCTTTGCACCAGCAGTGTGAAATAGGCACTGTTTTTATTAAAAAAACACTCGATTGGCCTGCAGTCAAAATTAAGAAAATAGAACATTTAAATTATTCATGCATGGATGGTAACAAGCACACATTTGCGTGAAACTAGATTGCAACCAACTTTTTGTTGAATAGGAATCTTTCTGACATTGATCAAGATGGAAAACTCACAGCAGAAGAGTTTATCCTCGCGATGCACCTGATTGACGTGGCTATGTCTGGCCAACCACTGCCACCTGTCCTGCCTCCAGAATACATTCCGCCTTCTTTTAGGTAAGGAACACGTGGCTTTTACAAGAGACTATGTGCTGAGTATGTGAATTTTAAACTTGGCTTTGTTGGCTCTGTATCTTATAGTCATTTTTATTCCTGGCAAGTAAATCAGATATCCATGAATGCAAGGAAATCTCATCTGGGTTCTGTGCTAATCCTGGGAGTGTTCCGTAAGTGCTTAAAGTGCACAGACAGGCAGGCTGTGCAGACACTGTGGGCTCCGTTCAGGCCGTCACAATAAAGCAGGTCTCACAATAAAGCAAATTGTAATCTTTTTGCTGGTAGAGGGTCTTACCTTCTTCAGTTTGTAAAAAAAAAAAAATGCAATACCTGTGAAGCTAGTAAAGCAAGGAGCAATAAAACAAGGTCTGCCTGTATTAGGAAAACATCAAAAGATTGGTGATTTTTGTACCATTCTGTAGATTTGAAGCTCACCAGAAATTTTAGCAAAGTGAAACCGTGTCAACCTGTCTATTTTAAATAAAGCAAAAGATTCTGTCTATAAATTCTACACATTTGAAAGGGCGACAGTAATAGCAGCTGCCACTTCCTATGTCCTGGTCACCATTCTAGCCTCCGTACAGTTATTCACTAATTCATTTCTTTAGAATTGTCCTAACTTTGGTTGTGGTTCTGAACTTTGAACAAGCTTGGCATTCAGAGTCTGATGCTGTTCAGATATTCATTTTTAAAAAACTCTTTATAAATGTTGAGGATCGAATCTTTTCCTTTTTGTCATCGTGCCATGATATATAGCATAATCATTAAAAATTCTTTTTCATAACTTGCTCATTTCCACCTAGACAGCTTTACATTAATTTGTTTCTCTTCTCTTCTTTCTTATGACTGCAGAAGAGTCCGGTCGGGCAGTGGCGTGTCCGTCATAAGCTCAACCTCAGCAGATCAGAGGTTACCAGAGGAACCAGTTTTAGAAGATGAGCAACAACTAGAAAAGAAATTACCTGGTATGAGTTATATCGTGTTATACACCTTCTATTTCTAAGGCAAAGATAGAGGTAGAAATAAATCTGGCTTTTTATTGACATTCTTGCTATATTGCTTTAACTAGCCTTAGAAAGGAGACACTTTTAATACACGTTTGGATTTGCATATATATATGCAAATACATTTTATTTATATTATATATATATATATATAATATATGAAAGAACATTGTATACTCTGTTAATGTACCTCTGTTCTAGCTTTTAAATGGAAATCGGGTTATGAATTACTGAACAGAAAATTTAGGAATATTATCTACATAGCCACTCAAGTTGATAAGCCTTTAAGGAGATTGCTTAAAATCACCGAGATAGGAAGTAAAATTGCTACTGTTATTTTCTCATATTGTTTGGGAGAATTGAAAACTTCTTAAAAACAAGAAGCTATTTTAAATGTAATGTGAACCTGTTGTAAATAATCCTCATTTATCATGATAAACCCATCATACTATTAAAATATTCTAAGGTGGCTATGAATTTTTAATGATGTGATAATAGTTGATACCAAGAAGCAAGTGAAATTCATGATGAAGTCTCTTTGTGTTAAATACTTTGTTAGTGTTGTTTTGCTACATTTCAAGTGCTTGGTGGTTAATTGACCTCAGGATCTAGTTTTCTCAGTATCCTCTTTAAACTAAATTACTTTTTGTTCACTGTTAAATCGCTTAGTGAAAATGTTCTTTGTGCAAGTGTGTTGAGTATAGTGAAGAATCTGAATGTTAATAATACATGGCCCATACCCTCTAGAAGGTTATAATATAGTTGAGGGTTCAAGACATCCGTGGGAACAGCCATCAGTGTGGTAGGTTCCTGAGGACAGTATTACAGAGCGGGCAGAGCTCGCTCCTGGCTGGGCGTCACGGGCTGGCAGAGATGCAAGGAATTACACTCTGTGGTCGAGCGCACATTCAAGTTCAACTTGAAGATGAATGAGGTTATTACACGTGGGATGGAGGAGCAGTTCAGGTTGATGATAATGGGAACAAAGACTCAAAGGAAGATAAGGACAGGTTTAGAATATGGCATGTTCTTTATCTGTTGGTGGTAGACATTTAAAGCTTGAACAGGCAGTGAACATCAGTTTTTTGTTTGTGCATTTTTTCTTTCAACAACCATTTATTATGTGCTTCCTGTGTGTGAGAAATAGGGCCAGATATTTGAATTTAACACATGTATAGAGACTTATCAGGGCTTTTTTGAGGTAAACCTCAAATAACAAAAATTGATCATTTAAAGTATGCAGTTTGGTGGCTACTTCAGTCAGCTTGGGCTGCCGCAATAAAGTACCACAGTGTGGGCTGCGTGTTTCTCACAGTTCTGGGGGCCCAGCAGTCCGAGATCGGGGTGCCCTCCAGTTCAGCTCCTGCCAGGTCTCTCTTCTCAGCTGCAGACGGCTGCCTTGCTGCGGGGCCCTCACATGGCCTCTCCGCATCGTGCACCGGGGAGAGAGAAAACGTTGTCTCTTCCTCTTATAAGGCTCAGACCTCATCGTGAGGGCCCCACCCTCCCAACCTTGCCTCACACCTAATTATAAAGGTCCCACCTCCAAATACCATCACACTTGGGGGGTTAGAGCCTCAACATACAAATCGGGGGTGGGGAATCCCCCAACGGGTGGGTTCAGTCCATCACAGTGGCATTCAGTACATTCACGGTATTGTGCAGCTACCGCCACTCCTCAGTTCTGAAGCTTGGTCATCCCCCTAAAAGAAAACTCCGTGCCCAGGGGCTCCCCATTCTCCCTTCTCCGCAGCCCCTGGCAACCACACAGGTCTGCTTCCTGTCTCTTTGAATTTGCCTATTCTGGCCGTACAGTGGGAGTCATTATAGCATGTGTCAGCACCTCATTCCTTTCTGAGGTTGAGGGGACTCAGTTTTAAGGTGACTGGTAAAGGGGCTGCTGCCTCCTGAAATCACTAAAAGAGCAAGAAGAACAAGAAAACCGGAACACACCTGCCATCTTTGCTCTTTAATGCCTGGCTGCGCTGTGCAAGGAAGGTCCATCTAGAGCAGCGAAGGCCAGACAGGAACACAGGGAGGCGCTGAGTGAGGGTGCTCCCAGCTGCAGGTCTCCAAAGTGTGAAGTGACAGTTCTAGAAACAGAGTGGGGGCAGTGGGGGTGCACGCTGCACAGGCTGGCAGGGAGAGCTTCCCGTGGCTGGGGTTGGGGCGGGGGGTGGGCATGGAGGAGAACACGAAATTGAGTGACAGATGCTGCTGAAACACTAGTGAGCGACGTGGAGGATGGGATTTTTCTTTTAAAAAAGTAAAATAAAATGAATGTAAACAAAGTGTTCACAAGGATTAGAGGGAAAAAAATTATTCACTTGGGAATAGCCTAAAGTACATAATTGGTGTTCCCAAAGAAGGAAATTGAATGGATTAGAAAAAAATTATTTACTGAATGTGATCTACATAATGGTTAGGACACGGCTTGTTCCTTAGTGTGAAACACAGGGCACTTCCACCTTCACTCTCTGAAGCGGTCTTGTTTGTTAGAATAGACACATCTGTGTCACTGTAGGCTAAGGGGAGAGAGAGGGAGGAATTCACCGCACAGGAGAGTTGGGGGGGTCATTTGGTGAATTGAGGTCATGCAGAAGCTCTCCTTGACCTTGAGATAGAGTAAGCATGAGAGAGGAGATTGCTGTAGATGATGCAACATTACTAGGGAAAGATTCACATGGAAACAGTGTTGGGTACTTTGAACATCGTGGTGCAGCATCCATTGTGGAGGGGAGCCTGTGCAGTCCAGGGGCTAGGTGAAGGGCCTCGTTGCAGTGTCTACAAACTGGGCACCAGCAGAAAGGACGCTTAGAGGGTCCCTGTGTCCATTCATACCACAAATTTTCTAATGTGCCATTGAGTCTTTCCTTCTACGGTGGCGTGTTGGATGTCATGACTTTTCATCCTCGCTGGTTTCTTGTTTCAAAGTCACATTTGAAGACAAGAAGCGTGAGAACTTTGAGCGAGGCAATCTGGAACTGGAGAAACGAAGACAGGCGCTCTTGGAGCAGCAGCGGAAAGAGCAGGAGCGCCTGGCGCAGCTGGAGCGCCAGGAGCAGGAGCGCAAGGAGCGGGAGCGCCAGGAGCAGGAGCGCAAGCGTCAGCTGGAGCTGGAGAAGCAGCTGGAGAAGCAGCGGGAGCTGGAGCGGCAGCGGGAGGAAGAGCGGCGCAAGGAGGTGGAGCGGCGCGAGGTGAGCTGGCCGGGGGCGCTTTCTCGCCCCTTTCACAACCGTTCAAGTGATGTGTTAGGAGCCTTTATTTCTCTACAGTTCAGTAGTTTTAGTACCTTCACCCCACAAAACTCCTTACCCGTTAAGCAGTTCCTCCCCTTCCCTCCCTCCCTCATCAGCACTGAACCCCACTGATTTATATTCTGTCCGTAAAGTTTGCCTGCTCTGGCCGCTTTCCGTAGATGGAGTCACGCAGTGTGCAGCCTTCGGTGTCTGGCTCTCACGTTCGACCGCGCTCAGGGTGCATCCAAGCCACAGCGTGAATTATGCCGCGTTCCTCTTTATGGCTGAATAGCATCCATCACATATCCATTCATCACGGGTTGTTTCTCCTTTTTGGCTGTTATGAACAATTTTGCTATAAGCATTTATGTGTGAATTTTTGATAAGACAGTTTTGTAATAAACCAGTGAGATCAGTTAAGTATTTTTCCAGGCTTTTTTTTCCTCTGCATTTATATACATACATAGAAATATAAAGGTTTATGTGGTAAAAAAAAAAAAGTTGGGGATTTAGTGTAATTTTTTAATGTATTTTATTGATTATGCTATTACAGTGGTCCTAATTTTTCCCCTTTGCCCCCTTCCACCTGGTACCCCCATTCCCTCCAACAATTCCACTCCCCCAATTCATGTTCATGGGTCCTACGTATAAGTCCTTAGGCTTCTTCATTTCTTATACTGTTCTTAACATCCCCCTGTCTATTTAGGACCTACCAGTTGATACTTCTTAATCCCTGCACCTTTTCTCCCATTCTCCTCCCTCCCACACCCTGTTGATAACCCTCCAAATGCTCTCCATATCTATAGCTTTGTTTCTGTTCTGGTCATTTGCTTAGTTTGTTTTTTTCGATTCAGTTCATAGTTGTGAATTTATTGCCATTTTAATGTTCATAATGTTGATCATTTTCTTAAATAAGTCCCTTTAACATTTTCTATAATAATGGCTTGGTGATGATGAACTCTTTTAGCTTTACCTCTCCTTTGGGACCTCCTCTGGGAAGCTCTTTACTTGCCCTTCCATTCTAAATGATAGCTTTGCTGGACAGAGTAATCTAGGTCGTAGGTCCTTGCTTTTCATCACTTTGAATACTTTTTTTAACATTTTATTTATTTATTTTTGGAGAGAGTGAAAGGGAAGAAGAAAGAAAGGGAGCGAAACTTTAATGTGTGGTTGCCTTTTACATGTTTCCTACTGAGGACCTGGCCCGCAACCCAGGCATATGCCCTGACTGGGAGTCGAACCCAGGCTGGCGCTCAATCCACTGAGCTACACCAGCCAGGGCTTGAATACTTCTTGCCAGTCCCTTCTAGCCTACCAAATTTCTTTTGAGAAATCAGCTAACAGTCCTATGGGAACTTCTTTGTAGGTAACTGTCTTCTTTTAAGATTCTTTATCTTTAACCTTTGGCCTATTAATTATGATGTGCCTTAGAGTGGGCCTCTTTGGATCCATCTTGTTTGGGACTATCTGTCTGTGCTTCCCGGACTGGTATGTCTATTTCCATCACCAAATTAGGGAAGATTTCTTTCATTATTTTTTCAAACACATTTTCCATTTCTTGCTCTTTCTCTTCCACTGCTCGCATCCCTATGATTCAAATGATGCTACTTCTGAAGATGTCCCAGAGGCTCCTTGGCCTATCCTCATTTTTTTAGATTCTTTTTTCTTCTTGCTTTTTTTTTTATTTTTAAGATTTTAGTTTTAGAGGGGAAGGAAGGGAGAAAGAGAGGGAAAGAAGCATCAGTGTATGATTGCCTCTCACACACCCCCTACTGGGGATCTGGCCCCCAACCCAGGCATGTGCCTTGATTGGGAATTGAAGCTGTGACCTTTTGGTTTGCAGGCTGGCACTCAATTCACTGAGCCACACTAGCCAGGGCTCTTCTAGCTTTTTTGATTGAATGTTTTTTCTTCCTTTTGTTCTAAATCATTGATTTGATTCTTGGCTTTATTTCCTCTACTGTTGGCTCTCTGTAAATTTGTCTTTATTTCACTTAGTGTAACCTTCATTTTGTCTGGGTCTTTTTTATGCTATTGAAGTACCCAGTAAGTTGAGTATCCTAATAAGCAGTGTTTTGAACTCTGCATCTGATAGATAGCGTATGTCCATTTCATTTAGTTCTTTTTCTGGAGTTCTGTTCTGTTTTTTCATTTGGGCCATGTATCTTTGTGTCCTCTTTTTGGCAGCCTCCATGTGTTTGTTTCTGTGCATTAGGTAGAGCTGCTTTGACTCCCTGTCTTAGTGCGGCCTATTAGAGAAAAGTGCACGGGTAAGTTAGATGGAGCAGCACCTTAGATAATTGCCAGGGCTGGGCAACCCGAGTGGCCTCCCTGTGGCTCTGTGTAGGAGAGGGCTCGGAGAGAGGACAGTGCCTCTGCCTGGCCCCTGGGGTTTTGTCCGGGAAGAAGCTGCCTCCTGGCACTCGCCCTGATGCCAGTTGCCTCCATTTCTCCCCATATGGCACTGGTGCCCTTCCAGCTGTTGCCCTGGTACTGAAGCCCAGAGGGAGTGAGTCTGTGTAAGCCCTGAGTCTGTTATGGGCCCTTTAAGAGGATACTCCTGAGAATCCTGCAGTTTCTTTTGCTGCCCCAACCCCCACTGGTTTTTACAGCCAGAAGTTATCTTCCTGGTGCTGGAACCCTGGCTGGGTGATCTGGTGTGGGGTCGGGGCCTGTCACTCCCGAGGTATCCCTCCCAATTTTTGTCCACCACGCGTGGGTATGGGACTATTCATTCTGCATCTTCGTGCCTCTTAGTGCCGCTCCACATCTGTGTCCGCCCCGCCCACCTGTCCAGGTGGGTGTGGCTTCTTAAATTCCTTGGTTGTCGGACTTCCATACAGCTTAATTTTCTGATGAATCTGGGTGATATTTGTTTTGTAGTCTAGTTGTAGTTTTTGCTGTGGTTGTGCAAGGAGGCGAGCCGTGTTGTGTACCTGTGCCTCCATCTTGACCTGACTGGTGTCATTGTTTTTAACCACTGTTACGGTATCATACTAATAATATTCCTTTTTTTCCACTTTAAAAAATATGTCTAGGAAATCTTCCCTATATTGTATGTAAGGGTTCTAAAATTTAGTACCATACCTGGCTACGGGCCAAGCTAATCTCTTGTCTGTCTTTCCAATTTTAGTATATTGCCACAGAAGCAATGCCATGATCTCTTGTGTGAATGAAATATATTTTAAAGGTGTGAAATAAAAAAAATTAAAACTTTGGTTTTAACTTCTCACGATTGCTTTAGAAAACTTGTAGCCATAGCTGCCTTATATATTCAGGCAGGTCCTCACAGGATTTTAATTTCCAGAATGAACAACCAAAATATAGATAACCTTCCCTTCTTCAGTGTAAGACAAAGAAAACAAATTAGAGTATTTATTTGGAATTATTTACAGGCATCTACCATGTGCCAGGCATTTGTAGGGTAGTTGGAGGACGGGTACATAGAAGAACTCCAGGGGCTTTGCCAGGTCCTCTGCCAAAGAGTCAGCTTTGAAAGCTGATGTTGCCAGGGAGGTTACAGAATCTGCTGTGAGGAAGAGGAAATGAATGATTTGGGCGGTGAAGGTCACAAGCTTTTATAAGATTAGTCTTCCTGTAAAACCTCTCATATACTTAAATGGCATAAAGTATAGAAGCAATTGCTATTAATGTACAGGGAAACTGTTTGAGTGTTCCCAGACCCATAAAATAACTTACCAAATCATACCAAATATGCTTAATTATATCTAGTTTTATACTAAGCCAAACATCCTTATAAGTTCTCTTAGGCCTTCCCTTCTGATACCTTAGGACAGACACATGTTGCCGACGATGCACAGAATAAGTGGAGGCGAAGCGCAGATGCTCACAGACACAGTCCAGAGCCCTGGCATCTGGCTGGGGGGGGTGCCGAATGTGGTTCCCGGGGACGGAGTCTGGCAGGGCCACTCTCGCTGCCCGGGCTGTGCTGCCTTTATAACGGCTCTCTGCAGAACAAACACCGAGTGCTGGTTTCATTTTCTCCTTGTTTCCGTAAAAGCGAGAATGCTCTCAGATGTCTTTCGGGTAGTGAAAACAGGCACCAGTGTAGGTCTTCCCTAAAAGCGAAGTATTCCTTTTTTTCCACTTTAAAAAATATGTCTAGGAAATCTTCCCTATATTGTATGTAAGGGTTCTAAAATTTAGTACCATACCTGGCTACGGGCCAAGCTAATCTCTTGTGTGTCTTTCCAATTTTAGTATATTGCCAAAGAAGCAATGCCATGATCTCTTGTGTGAATGAAATATATTTTAAAGGTGTGAAATAAAAAAAATGAACTTGTGACATGAACTTTCAAAAAGAGGGGGAGGCTTACTACTCTCTCATTTGATGGAAGAAAGTTTTTATTTTCAGTTCTGGGTGTTCAGTTTGATTTTACTAGATTTAGGACATTTTTTGCTCTTTATGAGTCAGTAAATAAGGAGGAACAATTTTATTTGGCCCATCAAGCATTGAAGGCAAAAACAGTTAAATTCTGATGGTCAGATGAGCCTGCCTGTTCTTATTTTATGTAAATATAATAGCCTTTACAAACATTCTCTTTGTTCCTTAGAAGTAATACTGTATTTGTATAAGTTTTGTTTTGCTCTTTTGTAATGGAATTTCTTGTAAAGTTTAAAAATATTTCGTCCTTAACAGAAAAGACTTACTAGCTGTTAACATTTATTAAGAGACATTGTATAGCACAAGAACTGAAAAATCGGTAAATCTTTCAACGTGTGTCACATTAACAGGCTGCAAAACGAGAACTCGAACGGCAGCGGCAGCTTGAATGGGAACGAAATCGAAGACAAGAGCTATTAAACCAAAGAAACAAAGAACAAGAAGACATAGTTGTTCTGAAAGCAAAGAAAAAGACTTTGGAATTTGAATTAGAAGCTCTTGTGAGTGAAGTTTGATTATGCTTTGGGAACGTATTAACATCAATCAAAATGGTAATAACACTTACTGTTTTTCATTTGTTAAAGAATGATAAAAAGCATCAACTTGAAGGAAAACTTCAGGATATCAGATGTCGACTGACCACCCAAAGGCAAGAAATCGAGAGCACGAACAAATCCAGAGAGCTGAGAATCGCTGAAATCACCCACCTGCAGCAGCAGTTACAGGTGAGGGAGTGCGTGCCTTGAAAGCTCAGTCCGCATCGAGCCTTTGCCTCGTACTAGGCCCTGGGAAGTCGCGGCGAAGCAGCCGGGTTGTCGGGTAGACAGACTCAGGACGTGTTCGCCGAGCACTGCTGGCTGTGCGGGACCAGCGTGAACGGCGGGGGTGAGACCCCCATCTTCTCTTTGCAGGGCAGACCGACACTAAGGAAGTAAACTCGGTATGCCCTCCCTCAGACGGTGAAGAGTGCGTAGGGAAGAGGGGGGCGGGAGGGCTGTGATTTGTAGATAAGGTGGTCCGGACAGGCCTCTTTGTGAGGCTCCATCTGAGCAAGGACTTGAGATGAGCGGTGGCGCCATGTGGACGTCTGGCAGAGCGTGGTTGGGAAATCGCGGTGCCCGTGGCCCACAGCTGCAGCAGGGAGACCGCTGCGGTTGGCGCAGGTGGGGCTGCATCACGTAGGACACATAGTCCATCGCAGGTCTTTGGCTTTTCCGTGACAGTGAGAGTGAAGAAGTGCAGTGTAAGTGTCTAGGGAGATATATAGTTGGGGGCACAGTGGAGTGCTACTTCCACTTTGCTACCTATGCAAAGTTGACACCGCGTTGTCATGATGTCACCTGTTGGTTTCAGTTGTTGAGTTGGGAGAGGGCATTGAATTCATGTAGATACTGTTCTGCGTATCATTATTTTTGAACTTTTAACTTTAATCTCACCTTCTCAGCGTGATGATTTTGAGATCCATTTTATTGAGTGAATCATGAGTTTATTCTTTTCCATCAGTGAGTAGTATTTCTTCATGTATCCATTCATCTATTGATTGACATTTAGGTTCTTCCCAGTTCTGGACTTTCATGAACAAAACCGCAGTGATCTTTTATTTATAGGTCTTTATGTGGAAATAAGTTTTATTTCTGTTGGTAAATTTTAGGAGTGAAATTTCTGTGTCATGCAAGTGTATGCTTAACCCTGTAAGAAACCGTCGAACTGTTTTCAGAGTGGCTGTGCCATTTTACATTCTCACCAGCACTGTATTGTCGCTTCAGGTTTTCCTCATCCTTGCCAACACCTGGTATTGTTACCATTTTTAATGTTAATTTTTCTGCTTGGTGTGTAACCGTATCTCACTTGGCTTTAATTTGCATTGCCCTGAAGGCTTAATGCCATTGGGCATCGCTTCCTGTGTGTATTGGCGTGTATCTTCTTGTGTTGTCTTCTGTGAAGGAATCTTTGGCCCTCTATTATAGAATTATGTTATAGAGTTTTTTATTCTTGTAACAAGTCTTTTGTTGGATATATGCTTTGCAAATATTTACTCAGTCTGTGGCTTGCCTTTTATTTTTTTGCAATGATGTTTCATAAAGGGCAGAAGTTTGAAATTTTGATATAAAGTTTAATTTGCTAAATTTTTTTTTATAGTTCATGGTTTTTGTCTTCTATATAGAAAACAATCTTTGGTTTGCCTAAGAATATAGATATTTTCTCTTACGTTTTCTTCCAGGAGTTTTGTTGTTTTGTTTACAAGTTTAAGTTTATGATGAATTTCAAGTTGACTTTTATATAAATATAAGGTAAGACGTGAGGTTCATTTTTTCCCAAACCATTACCTACTTGTTCTAGCAACGTGTATTGAAAACACTACCACTTTTCCCACTGAATTGCCTTGGTAGCTGTTGGAAGTCAGTTGACCATATTTCTGAAGCTCTTTCCTAGACTATATTCTGTTCTGTTGGTCTATGTCTGTTTTTTCACCAGTATCTCAGTCTGTTGATGATTGTGGCTTTTTAATAATTTTTCAAATCAGCTACTGTGAGATCTTCGATATTCTTTTTTTTTTCCCAAATGATTTTTGCTGTCTTAGGTCCTTTACATTTCCACATGAGTTTTGGAATCAGCTTGTTTTTACAAAGGCACTTAGAATTCTGATTGCTGTTTCATAAAATTTATAAATTTGGGAGGAATTGACAACTTGATGGTATTGAGGCTTATGATATATTTCTCAGTTTTATTTAGGTTTTTATAAATTTTTCTCAACAGTGTTTTGCAGTTTTCAGTGTATAAGTCCTGTACATATTCTGTAAAGTTTATCCCTAAGTGTTTCTTTTTTTTTTTTTTTTTTCCTTAACTGCATGGGTCACAGCCTCCCGTACCGTTTTGAACAGAACTGGGGGCGTCGTCTTGGTCTTCACAGGGAAGGGTTCGGTCTCTCTCCATTCAGTGTGATGTTGACTGTCCTTGTCTGGGTTTGGTGTCAGGGTGCTAAACACGGAAGTAAGTTGGAGGGGTTTTTTTCTTTTTCCTAAAGATGTTCATGTTGAAATGGTATTTCTTCTTTGAATTTTTGGTGGCATTCACAAGGGAAGCTTTGTGGAGCAAGATCTTTCTGGGTGGAAGCCCTTTAGTTGCAGATTATTCAGTAAAACAGGGCTGCTCAGATTTTGTGTTTCTTCTTGAATCTCTTGATGGTTTCTGTCTTTCAGTGGATTTATCTGTTTCATCTGAGTAGTCAAATATATTTGTGTACAGTCGTTCACAGTATTCTCTTATTATTCCTTAGGACTCTGGTGTCTGTCGTGACGCCGTGTCTTTCATCCCTGGAACTGCAAGTTCCTCTCCTCTGTCTCCGTCTTATCCTCTCCCTCCTCGGCCCCCTCTCCTTCCCCGTCTTCTCTGTCAGTCTAGCTAGACGTTTACTTGTTACATTGAATTGGTTTCTTTTTCTCATTGTATTTTTTCCGTTACCATTTACCCCCCCCCACGCCCCTTTCCACCTCCCAGGTCTCCCCTCCCCACACAGACCACACTGTGGGCAGTGTCCATGCGACCTGTACTTTTTTTTTCTTTTTTGCTCAGCCACTCCACTCTGTGGTATGTTTGTTTTCCATTTCATGTACCAAGGCTTTTTATTCCTTATCTCTATTTTTGGTTTAATTTATTTATTTTTAGCTTCATAAGGTGGAAGCTTACAGCACTTCGTTTGGGCCACTCTGCATTTGATACGGATACCCTCTAATGCTGCCGTAGCTGTGCTACAGGCTCTTCATATGGTGTGTTTTCATACTCAATTCAAGACCTTTGCTATTTTTCCTTTGATGAGTTATTTAGAATTGCGCTGTTTAGTTTCCAGAAACTTGGATTTTTTTTCCAGCTATCTTACTAATTACCGATTAATTTATGTTATGATCTGTGAGCATACTTTATGATTTCAGTCCTTAATCCCTTTAACTTTATTGAGACTTACTGGATGGCTCAGCATGTGTTCTGTTGGGAGAATATTTCACGTCATTTCAGAAGAATGTGCACTGCCTTGTACTCGGGTGGGGCGGCCCTGAACCTCAGTCAGGTCACATTGACTCATGGGGTCTGGGAGTCCGTTCTGTGTGACTCCTTCAGCTGCTGAGAGACGGGTGTGGAAATCTATCAGTTGTCTAAGTGTGTGTGCTTTTTCCTTCATTTCTGTCATGTTGTTTCATGTGCTTTGAAAAGGAGAATACTGGGGTATGACGTAAGGTGAATAGAATCAGACGTTCACTGCTACAAGTTGTTTGAAAATCTTAAAAAATGCACACACTTTTTAAAAGTGTTTTCTTCTATGTTCCAGCTCTCTTTATAAGTCTTTCATTAACTCTTTATCAGAAGTTTCATAAAATGTTCCCTTGGAAAATTTATTAGCTCACTAAATGCTCCGTGACCAAACACATTTTCAGTAAAGGTTGGTACTTAGCGTGCTCATTTACGGATACTGAAATACAAGTTGGCGTTCCCGAAAGAGCGGGGAAGCGAAAGCAGTTCACAGCAGCCCAGGTGCACAGTAGGTGAGGACGCACTGGTCCCCGGTCCTCACTGGACTCAGCAGACACTTGTTACGCAGCAGAGGCAGGTCGCCCTTCTTGACTCGTTTTAGGAACCTGGGTTGTCACGTTTATCTAAGTGAAATGATCTGAGTGATCCTAGCCAAGCTTCATCTCAAACTTAGTTGTTTGTTTAGGTTCAGAAAAGAAACTCTGGTATTGGCCTTGCCTCAGTTTAGGGTAGATCAGAGCAGCTCAGTTGGCTTTTTTTGGAAAACGGTCAAATTTGTACATTCTGTTTTGTCCAGATTTGGGGGAGGAGGGTGTGTGTGGATTGTTCATATGAGAAGATGCTTCCAAATCCTCCCCATTAAGCTAGTAAATCTCTCTACTATTCGGACAAATGCACAGAAAGATTTGTAACCCACGAGCCAGTCTGGATCTAAGGATGCTCCACAAAGGACTGAACGTGTGCTGGGAGTTTGAAGGCAGTTCTCTTTTTCAACCCAAATTGAGTTACAGAGAGCGTTTAAAATTCAAGGTAGAAATAGAAGTTAAATATTTCTTATCACACACTGGAAAGGCTGGCATTTTATTGAAATGTATACAAACTGTATAGGATAATTTCAGCTGAACTTAAACAAATACAGTGCTTGACAAGTTATCCATGAAAACTCCCAGTACCCTGTTACCGTGTGGTTTGTTTTTTTTCTATGTCAATTAAAAAATAGTTGGCCCAAGACTTTTTGTGGACCTTGTTAAAATTGTAGCTCTGTCCTGGGTGGTGGAAAAACCTGTGGTAGCTAAGATTCCAGTGGTTAAAAATCTCCTTGATTTGTGTTTTCAACTTAAGGTGTGTGGTAAACCTCAGTTGAGCCCTATTAAGTATCAAAGTTCAGGACAGAATGGTTTCTATTCAACTACTGAGGCAGTTTACCAACCACAGGGTCATTGCCATCATATTGGATCTCAGCTGAGAGATCATTCATCATTTTCAGTTTTCTCCACTGAGTACATTTTTTAGAGCTTATTAATAGGCAGTAAGTCAACAAAAATTTAAGAAATACCAAGGGAGCTAAGCTTGTCTTAACTCCAATGAAAAGCATTTGGCAAACAGTTAATTCCTTGGGCAGAAAACAGGAATCTCTCTAACTAGTGATTAAATGCAGTTTCACCCCAGAGGCCTTGGGATGGGGCTGGAGGAGGCCGTGAGGGGCAGAAGGCTGGAAGTGCCCGATACTCACTGTCGTCCCCCTCCCTCCCTCCAGGAGTCCCAGCAGATGCTCGGAAGGCTCATTCCAGAAAAACAGATACTCGGTGACCAGTTAAAGCAAGTTCAGCAAAACAGTTTGCACAGTAGGTGTTTATTTTAAATTTGCCTGACCTGCTTTTTACTGACAGAAGTTCCCTTACCTGGAAGAATATTAAAAACCATTCTCCTCACTGCCAGTTTCTTTTTCTTATCTCACAATGTTTTCCTAAAATAGGAGATTCACTTCTTACACTCAAAAGAGCCTTGGAAGCAAAAGAACTAGCTCGTCAGCAGCTCCGAGACCAGCTGGATGAAGTGGAGAAAGAAACTAGATCAAAACTCCAGGAGATCGATATTTTCAATAACCAGCTGAAGGTAACTGTTCTGCGTCTTCCCGCACACCTACGTCCTGCCTCTAGCTTTTCTAACTGCTAGATGATGAGTTGATATTTACCCCCAGGCAAAAAATGTATTGTGCTGGTTGGTCAGCCTTCGTGAAAGTCCTCACATTTGTAGAGGAGCAGTGTATGATCCAAAACGTAAAAATGAACCGACTCCTGTGAATTATGGCTGAGTGCGTGGCCCCGACTTGGCCCCATGGTCCCAGCACGACATCTGTCTCTCACCGGAATCCCGTGTTTACGTGTCTCCGTCCTCTTGTCCGTTGATGACGACATCAAGTTGACTCTACAAGCTGGGCTCCAGTCTTCACCTCTCCCGTGTTCTTGGGAGTCTGCTAAAAAGGGACTTTTCTCTTCTAAAACTAAGAATTGGTCTGCCCCTCCTCAGCTTCAGGATTGTCCCTGAATATAGATCTTTGTTTTGTTACATCCTATTTTAAAGTTTTACTGTTCAGTAGAGAAATTGCCTTGTCTCTGGGCAGAGAGGTGGGTGGTTTTGTCACATTCACACAGTAAAGGTCGGACAGAGCCAGAGCCGGTGGGGATGCGGGCGGTGGTTGCCACGTCCCTGCACCCCCTCCCCTTGAGCACGTCGGCTCATAGTGCAAGCAGACTGCAGGCGGCTCGGCTGGCATCAGCAGTGATCATGTGTTGAGATTTCTGTAGATAGTGGAGTTTTTAGTAATTATGTTCTCATAAAAAACTGGATTTTACACTTTTCCCAAACACTTTCATTTGCAAGCTTAAAATCTTTTATACTTAATTTTGGCTAATTTAGCTTTTGTAGCTAGGAAAAAACAAAAATTCCTGTTTTCTTTTTCTTACTAGAAATAGAAAAAAAATTAGGACGTATATTAGAGATTTTTACTTGACCTTTGAATTGAGATTCTTGGCCAAATTGTCTAGTCATCTGAGAGTGAGATATTTGTGCCTTTCTTTTTTCTCCAGAATAATGGGTAATGAACTTTTCTCAGTTGTACAATTCTAGGAAAGTGCTCTTAAGGGAAATTTATTCAAGCCAACTTAGTGATTTTCTTCACTTTGCTCTCATGCTTACACAGAGTGTGTGTGTGTGTGTACACATGTGCACATGTGTGTGCACATGATATAAGAGGCTATCGAAACAAAAGTTCTGTCTGTAATTGATATGTCCTAGAAATTGCTCCTAGGAGCTCAGTTGTTGAAATGAGAAAGCCCCTATAGTGACGAAGGTTCCTGGTTTAACTAAGGCGTGTATGCTCTTGCTTTCAGAACTTGCTTTCATGGCGGGCTCATTCATTGTGAAGGCAGGAAAGGCAAAATGTTTAGCGAGCAGGAGAAAAGAAAAGAGCTGGACAAAGAGCTGCAGAGCAGAATAGAAGTCGGGGGAAAGGCATGCGGAGGCAGACAGTGAAGGAAAGGAAAACACTCGGAAAGAAGAGGTGCAGAGGCAGCCAGAGGGGTCGGTGTGAATTCCAGTCACAGCCTCACCGTCTCTTATCGGTAGAATCATGTTTGGCTGTTTCATGGTTTACTGTCTTATTTTGTTCAAGATTCCATTTTATTTTTATCTGTGTGATCATTTTTGAAAAGACCTCTTCTGCACAGAAGTAATAAAATTCTCTCTCATTCAGCAACTTGTGAGTGCAGAAACTTTACACAGATTCCTTGAACATAGAAAAATAATCAGAACACTCCCAAGACTCAAAAAAGCTGACAGATGTTATGTGATAGAATCTGCGCCATCCCAGTCGGCCGGCCAACCCTCTGACAGCTGTGCCCTTCAGAATCACAGGCATTTTAAATAATGGGCTATGGCCTTGTAAAGAAAGCTAAGACATGTTGGGGAAACTCAGACTTTTCAGGGCAAAATAGAGTCATTTTTCTCTTTCTGGTGGTACGAGAGACATGAGAAAAGATCCTTAATTAGCTATTCCTGTTGCCGAGAGGGCAGGGTTTTCTAGCCCTGTTCCCTTTCTGTCCACCTGTTTCCTGACCCACGCCCGTGCCCACAGGCCTCTGTGCATTCCTCTCTGGCTCTCCCGGGGCACTGAGGGTGCGTCTGCTGCCAGCCTGTGCCGTCGGGAACCGGACTTCTGGATGGTTGGCTGTTGACTTCAGATTTAGAAGTAACATTTAAATATTTCTCTGAATGTTAGTATACCCCTTCTTGGAATTTAAGTAACCAGTCAATATGTTTTTTGTACTCCTACTTTTACTGTATCAAGAATGAATAAATTTTATAATTTTGTGGTAAATAGAATATCAATTTACCTTGATTTCGGTACTTCTATACCGTTTCTATGTTTTGAAATACTTAGTTATTTTTCAGATTTTTCCACACGGATATAAACAAGTTCCCCTGTCCTTATTGGGTTTGGTGATTGGCTTTTAAAATTGCTTTCATTTGTTCTACAACCAACTAATTAGGATAAGTTACTATAATTTAAGACTCAAAAGCCTTATAAAAATTATATTTTGTGCTACTTAATATCCGTGGGTGAGAAATAAGTGATGTTTATTTATATAAAAGCACTTCTCTTTGGGATTTAGGTTTAGACAAAACAATCCCTGATGTTTCTCATGCTGGTACCTAGATCTATTTTCTGTGAGGCCAATTTAATATGAACACCAAAGATTATTATAAATACAAGAGCTATGTCCTTATTTTGATCTGCAGTGCCGAGTTCATGAATTTCAGGTAGTTAGGGCGTGTTTGTTTTTGTCTCCCCTTTCTGAGACAGCCTGAGGCAGAAACTAGAAGCAGAGTTACACAGTCAAGTTAGCGATGGATTTCCACTCGTTGCTGCTCTTTCATAGACCCCTTACTGCTATTTTTCTCTCTTTACAAGCATTTATGCAAAGTAATGTTTATGAAAATGGACCCTCTCACACTGTTCAGATGGATTCTATTTTACCTTTTAAGTAATATCACCTCACATAATACATCTATTTGTGAGTTTCTCTAAAACCAAATGAAAGAGAAACAGCTTTTAAATCCGGTGATTCTGTGCCCCTGGCAAAGCCATGGAACTGGCTTCAGTAAACTTGAAAGTGAGCCATGTTCTCAGGGCATCTTCTTCTTTTTTTTTAAAGATTTTATTTATTTTATACTTTTGAGAGGGTAAGGGAGAGAAACATCAGTCTGTGGTTGCCTCTCACTTGCCCCCTACTGGCCCACACCCAGGCATGTGCCCTAGACTGGGAGTCGAACCAGCAGTCCTTTGATTTGCAGGCCAGCAGTCAACCACTGAGCCACACCAGCCAGGTTTATCTTCTTGAGTATTGAATTTGTCAAGCATATTGTTTTAGAAATACTTCGGCTGTGTGCCATAGATGGCCAAAGACGTTTTATGGTGATAATCGCTTTTTTAAAGGATTTTTTTATTTACTTATCTTTAGAGGGAGAGGGAAGGAGAGAGGGATAGAAATATCAGTCTGTGGTTGCCTCTTGTGTGTCCCCTCCTGGGAACTGGCCTGCAATCCAGGCATGTGCCCTGACTGGGAATCAAACTGTGATCCTCTGGTTCGCAGGCCTGTGCTCAGTCCACTGAGCTACACCAGCCAGGGCATGGTGATAATATCTTAATTCCTTAGGGGAAATAAGTGACTTTTCCTCTTTGGTTGAAGAAATAAAGTTAAAAGCAAGCTGATTGTCATTTATCTTAACACAAAACAGACTCTTTATTTGCCAGTCACTTTCTTATTGTGGTTCATAATCTGTCTGATGAAAGACCCCCTTTGAGAATCAAAGGCTTCTTTGCCCATGTTACATGTGGTTCGATAGTATGTACAGACCTAAAACCAATTCACAGACCCTAGTTAAGAAACTGCTGTGTCATACAATTCCATGGATATTATTGGTGGTAAAAATCTTAATTAATTTATATATACTACACATTTTATAGGAGTTTCATCTTTCTCATATTTTTGTGTATAACATGTAACTAAAATTTCTTGAATACATGTTTAAGAATTTCTTTTTTCCTTAAGAAGGGTGTTATACTTTATTAGGACATAATATTAAATTATTATACACTGTATCTAGTGTAAAACATATACCTGTGAACAGAACTCACAGAAGAAAAATCAGCAAAGTGGTGCACTTGATACCGTCTTGTTAGAGAAATATCTAAGAAATAAGTTGTTGTGGTGTTACTGAACTACATGCAATAAAGTTGTTGCGGTATTAGAAAAACAAGGTGGTTATGGGGAGAGCCACAAGTGAGAGACTGGGTTTTGGGTCTTAGTAATTTCTTAGTAGGTCTGTTTTTGTTTTAGTTGTGGTGGAGGGATCATCGTGCTGAGAGGTAATGCATGTTCAGGGTCACTTCAGTGAGGCTGACCACGAGGAAAAGCTGATCAAATCCGTGTAAAGTTTTTCTCAGCTACTTCTCCCAGTAGGTCTTTCGTTTCCTAAATGGAGAACTTAATGACTCCAGATTGATTTGTCACCTTAAAAATGTCTTCCCTGAAAGAAATCACAGGGCATTTTTATTTTCTTTCTTTTTAATATATTTTATTGATTATGCCATTACAGTTGTCCCATTTCCCTCTTCATTCCCCTCCATCCTGCACACCCCCTCCCCCACCCTTCCCCCCTTTTAGTTCATGTCCATGTCTCATAAGTTCTTTAGCTTCTACATTTCCCACACTACTCATGCCCTCCCCCTGTCTATTTTCTCCCCACCATCTATGCTACTTATTCTCTGTACCTTCTCCCAGTGCCCCTCTTTTCACTCCCCTGTTGCTTACCCTCCATGTGATCTCCATTTCTGTGGCTCCGCTCCTGTTTTAGGTGTCCACTTAGTTTGCTTTTGTTTAAGGTGTGGTTGTTAATAACTGAGTTTGCTGTCCATTCACTATTCATATTTTTTATCTTTTTCTTAGATAAGTCCCTTTAACATTTTGTATAGTAATAGCTTGGTGATGATGAACTCCTTTAACTCGACCTCATCTGAGAAGCCCTTTATCTGTCCTTCCATTTTAAGTGAAAGTTTTGCTGGATAGAGCAATCTTGGTTGTAGGTCTTTGGATTTCATGACTTGGAATACCTCTTTCCAGCCCCTTCTTGCCTGTAAGGTCTCTTTTTAGAAATCCACTGACAGTCTGATGGGGACTCCTTTGTAGGTGACTGTCCCCTTACCTCTTGCTGCTTCTAGGATTCTTTCCTTCATTTTAATCTTGGCTAATGTAATGATGATGTGCCTTGGTGTGTTCCTTCTTGGGTCCAACTTCTTTGGGACTCTCTGAGCTTCCTGGATTTCCTGGAAGTCTATTTCCTTTGCTAGATTGGGGAAGTTCTTTATTATTTGTCCAAATAAGGTTTCCACTTGTTGCTCTTCCCCTCTGCCTTCTGGTACCCCTATAATTCGGATGTTGGAACGTTTAAAGATGTCCTGGAGGTTCCTATGCCTCTCTTCATTTTTTGAATTCTTGTTTCTTCATTCTTTTCTGTTTGGTTGTTTCTTCCTTCTGGTCCACTCCATTGATTTGTCCCAGTTTCCTTCCCATCACTATGGATTCCCTGTGCATTTTCCTTCATTTCACTTAGTGTAGCTTTCATTTTTTCATCTAATTTGCGACCAAAATCAACAGCTGCCCTGTGGGTGGCTCGCTGCGGTGGGGTCCTACTCAGCCTGTGCAGATCAGCCGTGTGAACTTGTGTAGTTAGCGTGTTTCACATCTGAAGTGTTATCTCCTGGGCGTGTGGGCTTCTCCACAGTGCATTGCTGCACCGTGTGCTCCTAGACCAACGGTGGCAGTGCCTGTCTCCTCATGCATCGCCTGGTTTTCATTATTTATAGGAACTAAGAGAAATGCATAATAAGCAGCAGTTCCAGAAACAAAGGTCCATAGAGGCTGAACGGCTGAAACAGAGAGAACAGGAGCGAAGGATCACCGAACTGGAAAGACAGAAGGAGGAAGCCCAGAGGTGAGTCTCCTGGGCGGTTGCGGACCCGTCGGGAAGGAACCCTGAGTGCTCACTGCTCCTTGCCTGGCCTCTCCGAGGGCTTTCTGCAGCAGACAGAACCCCAGCCCCAGGCACGTGTGTCCGCACAAACATGCGTGTGTGCAAATCTTTGCATGTGTGAGCACCCCTGAAGTTTTTGGTTGGTTCCCAGAGCTCACCCAAGTCACCACTATGCAGATAAGTGGAATTATCCAAGGAAATTGGCACACTTGGTGAGCTCATTTGCATGCCAATGACCAAGTTACTTTTCCAGTTCACAGCCTTTTAACAGCAGTGGGGGGGGTTCTGCCACCCAGGGTTTCTCAGGAAGGACTCCCCTTTCTCCTCTCTTCAGCTGCAGAGTAAACCTGAGCACAGAAGCAGAACATTTGCTGCTGCGTGCGGATAGACTCTTGTTTCTGTTTGTTTGTGTCTGAATCTTTGCATTTGTGGTTTTTACTTGTAACTTTCTGCAGTAGACTGTAGACATTTTTAAACTTCTGGTGGGTCTGCTTTTGCTTTTGTCACTGGGTATTTGCTTCTTAAACTTTATTAATTTTAGACACTAAGCAGGGAGGAGGATATAAGGGGATTAAATGGTAATAGAAAAAATACTTCATTGTAATTTATTGATTAAAGAACAATTAAAAATAAAAATAGACACTAAGAAACAAAAATGACCAAACATCTCCATGATGTAGTATAATTTGTAAAATTTGATTATTGAAATTAGACTAAAAAGATGACGAATCAGACAGTTTGTTTAGGCAGGTCACTGACTCCAGTGGGCGGAGCTTAGTTCCACCGCCCGGAGTGGGGCGAGTTTCTGATCTGGGTCTTTGTGGTGTTTTGAGTCTGGTGCTTTGGGTACTTTTGTTTGTGTGTTTTCATGCCGATGGGTAGGTGGGTAGGGTCTCAAACCAATTTGAAGAACAAGTTTTGGTTGCCTTGGGAGCAGGGTTAGGATTATGGAGCAAGGATGAATTCCTCGGATGTGCTGACCAACCCATCCTTTTCTTACCTTCAGAGTTTGTGAAACGCCTTCCGCACTCGCACTGTGGGCCACACTGAACCTGCGCATTCCTTCAGAATAGAAATGGCACAGAATACTGTAATGCAGAAAGGTCAGATTTTGTGCTTGTGGGCACGTGATAAATAGTGTCCAGAATGTAACTTTAGAAACTACGTGGCCGTGCCCTGTAAACGGTGACTGACCTTGTTAGAAGAAAATATGGAAGCAGATTTTATTGTGGGGGTTTTGTTGTTGTTGTCATGATGAACAGTTAACCACCCCTACCACTCCCAAAAGTTTTTTTCTGTTTTCTTACGATGGTTTAAAATTGTAAGTAGGGCCGGCTGGTGTGGCTCGGTGGACTGAGCGCCGGCCTGTGGACCAGAGGGTCGTCGGTGGAGTCCCGGTCAGGGCACGTGCCTGGGTGCGGGCCAGGTCCCCAGCTGGGTAGGGTGCGCAGGCAACCACGCATGGTTGTTTCTCTCTCTTCCGCTCTTTCTTCCCCACTCTCTAAAAATAAATAAAATAAAACCTTTAAAATTGTAAGTAAAATGTTTAAGTTAAAAAGAATTCTACTGCACTACATTTTTCCATTGATAAAGAATAGAAATAAGTGTAATATTTTTTAAGTGGAGAATAAAAGTTTTATTTGCTTGTATTGTGTTCCATTGGGGGGTTTCCTGATTCTGGGAGGTGACCTTTGTGCAGAGGCCACGTCACAGGACAGTGGGTCAGGGTGTGGGCTCTGGGATCGAACCCCAGGCGGGTGTGGCTGTGGGACCTCATGTTCTTCGTCTGCGCAATGTGGGTGACCGTGACAGGCCCTGCCTGCCCAGCGTGAGGGTGAACGTAGTTTAAGTGTGTTATCACTAACATATCACTTATTAATGCACGTTAGTTCCATCTAAAGTGTGCATTTAGCCTTGACCAGTGGGACTCAGTGGGTTGGACATCATCCTGCAAACCAAAAGGTTGCCAGTTCAGTTCCCAGTCAGAACACACGCCAGGGTGCAGGCCAGGTCCCCGGATGGGTGCGTGTGAGAGGCAACCAATTGGTGTTTCTCTTGTACATCAGTGTTTGTCTCCCTATTTCTTCCTCTCCTACAGTGTGCATTTCAAGTATTTTATTTTCAAGGCCTGCATTTAATTGCTGTGATCTCTTTGTGTCACCGGCTTTGAAAAACAAGCATGGAGAAGTCAGACTCACTGAACTGTTCAGGAGTCATTGTTCATGATGGACGGTTACTACCTCAGGGGCTCACAGTGATCTGTTGCTCTTGGCCGCATGCTGGGGGGCTCTGTGTGTGCGTCGGACAAGGTGTGCCCTCAGTCACCCCATGGCTCGTGGACTCGCTGGGGCAGTGTGTCACTTCAGTATGGGGTGTCCTTTCCCTTTATGGGAGCCATGTCCCCACATGTGTTACGACTTTGTTGTTTTGCAGTTATAGACCAGTTTTAAAATGGAGAAGTGTTTTGATACTATTCTGATAGTTTGATAAGCTACATGAGAAATGCTTCCCATGTTTCTCTGAATCGCACGGTCTCATCTCACTCAGAGCAGGGGCCCCTAGAGCCTTTGTTTCATTGATCTGGAGTCCTGTGTCCAGAGCACCCCGTGGATCAGGTGGAGCGGTTTGTGCGCTAACCCGGAGTCGTGTCCTTGCTGTAATTAAGCGTGTTGTTGACAGGCGAGCGCAGGAGAGGGACAGGCAGTGCCTGGAGCGCGCACAGCAGGACGATGAGCATCAGCGGCCGCGGAAGCTCCACGAAGAGGAAAAACTCAAGAGGGAGGAGAGCGCCAGGAAGAAGGATGGCGAAGACAGAGGCAGACAGGAAGCTCAAGACAAGCTGGGCCGGCTCTTCCCGCAACACCACGAACCCGCTAAGCCGGCTGTCCACGCACCCTGGTCCACCGCAGGTACTAGGGGCCAAAACGTTCTAGAAAAGCAGTCATCTGCGCTCTCACACCCTCCTGAGAAATGTCCCTATGTAATCGGGCCCTACCCTGCTATATTAATAGAGGTGACAATGTCAGGCTTCTTTTTTGGGACAGTGCAGCTGTTCGTTCTGTAGGGTTATGAGGCTCTGTTCAACTCTGCCACCACCGTGCCAGCCTGTGGCTGCCATTACACCAGCCTCCGGAGTCTTTTGCCAACAACAGCGCTTGAGTCTCGTTGCCAGGGCTCCTCACCCAGACGCCCGGGCTCCGGCGGAGGTCCCGAGCTTCCCGCCGCCTCTCTCGTTCTCCGGTGTTTTCTCTGGGAGTTCCTGGGCTCTCTCCAGAACAGGGAGCGGTACCTCTCCTGTGTGCCTGAGCCGATGTGACACTCACTGTCTTCAGTCTGCCCCGCATCGAACCGTGGTCTTCACCTTTTCAGGGGTGTGACTGTTTTCTGCCCTTTTATCATAAATTTTCTCATGAAGTAATGATGAATGGAAAACTTTTAAATTGCTAGAAAGCATCCCTCATATCAGTTGCAAACTAGAATGTATTTTTAAAATTCTCATGTGGCTGTATAATGCTTTACTGCTGTGCAGACTCTACTCAGCTGAACAAAGTGATTGCCTTTTTCTTTGTATAGTAAATTACACTGACTTTGATCGTCAGCATGCTTTTTGCTGGTATACTGACAGAAAAGACAGAAACACGCTGTTCCTTAAAGGCCTGTTTCCTGTGGCACAGTGGGCAGGGGCGGGGTGAGGGCTCCGAGGTGGGGCCGCCGCCCTCCTGCCTGGCAGCGCACGCCGCCCGGGACAATCGTCAGGCCCGCACCAGAGCCCCGGCCGTGTGCAGACATGTTTTCCGACTGCTTTATATGAAAATCAGTTTTCCATGATTTGATCTGGGGCAGTCAGTTTCAGTTCCTTCTGTTCCCTCCTAGATCAGGGCTTTTCCCTTCGGTCAGTGGACAGTCTGCACAGCAGCTCCCAGACCACAGCGCACGGCGTCTTCCTTTTTCTGCCTCCAGGGAGGGCGGCCGTGCGTCAGAGCGCCGGGGTGAAGCAGTTCAGAGGGCCCGGGAGTCGTCATGGTTGACCGGGTCCGGACCCTCCTCTGCTCGCACTCATTCTTTAAATTTTATCTCATTTAAAATCTAAGTTATCTTCGTCTAGGACCTGTCCTTAGGCTCAACCCCGCACTTCACCCGGGATTGTCAGTAGGAACTCTTCTGGGTGAAATAGGCTCTTGGGTTTTACAAGCCTGCATTTGGAGCCTAACCATCACCGCTCCCGTGTCTGTTCACGTGGGAAGCTGTGCTGCGTTGCCCTCCCCAAACGGACTTTCTTTCGGCTCATCCAGATTTCAGGTCCCATTGGAACTGCTTCATTGTACTGGACACCCTGGAGGGGCAGGGCCGTGGAGCTCACCGTGTGCCGCGCTGGAGTGTAAACCAGCGGGCAGAGCCCAGAGCCTCAGCCTCACTGCACGTGGCACTGAGGTGGCCTTTGTGTAGAGGCTTCCCTGACACCCTGCGGCGGGTCTGAGGTGTGGCATCGGGTGTGGCTTCCTTCGGCCTTCAGGGCCTGTGCCAGAAACCTCTGCAATGGACGGGTTGTTTGGATGTGGAGGCGTCGGCTGTTCAGCTCGTCACGCGTTTGTGTTCTGTGTAATGTTTCATTTTTCCCATTTCTGCCCCCGCCCCCCCTTTTTTTGTGAACAGAAAAGGGCCCGCTCACAATCTCCGCACAGGAGGACGTGAAAGTGGTGTATTACCGTGCACTGTACCCCTTTGAGTCCAGAAGTCACGATGAGATCACGATCCAACCGGGAGACATAGTCATGGTAAGAACGATAGCGGTGACGTGTGGTTTTGTTCGTGACCATCATCGTCCTTCCTTTGGAGTTGACTGGACAACGTGAAAGTGACCTCCAGTAATCCAGCTTCCGGGTCTCTGAAGTATAGGCTCATTCTTCTTCCTTTTCTAGTACACCGAAAGAAGACATTTAAAAATTTATTGACATTACTTTAAAATAGAGCTGTCAAGGAAAATGGGTTTGTAGTACAGCGTTGCTTATTTCTAAATCTGTAATGATATGGTAATTTCTGAGTTCAGATTACGACTTACATACTATGAGTAGTCTTTAAAAATTAAGTTTTAAATGCAAAATACTCTAGCATTATTTTTATAATTGCCAATGATAACTTCTGTGTCTTTAGGTCAAAAACATCTTTTTTTTTTCTCCCTTTGACCATGTAAACTTTGAACTGTGAAGAGGAGTGAATTAAATACAGTTAATCTGCTTTCTTAATTAAATATAATCTTATGATTGCAACTAAGACAACAAGAACCAGTGTAAGAAAGAATATAGCAATGCGGTCGACTAAATTATTCTCTGAAAGAAATTAGTTGTTCATCTAGTTATCAATTTAAGAATAAGAGTCTGAGAAGTGGCTTGACTTTGCATTACTGTTAGCATTGAAAAACAGAAGGGGTGGGTTGACGTTTTAACAGAACTACGCAAGTGCGGAGGTGAGACAAATGTTTCCCATACCAGGACTCCATGTCTTTGAAGTACAGAGGGAGGGTGTTGTACTATTACTCATGCGTTTTATGTGTGTACATTGGGTCTCTGCATAGAATATATGGTCTTTAATGGGCCAAAATATAAGGGAAGAACAGAGAGGTCAGTCCCTTTTCCCATTTTCTTGATCACTTTTTCTCTAATTATGGGCTGGATATAGGGGAGTGAAGGCCAAAGGCCCAGAATCTGACTGAGACTTCAGTATTGAGTATATCTTCAAATACATTCCAGTCCTTTCTGCACATGGTTTCTGAGTGCCTGAGTGTGCTGGGTGCCAGCCTTGCTCCTGCGTGGAAAGAACTGGCTTCCGTGGGGGGCAGGCACCTCTCTGCACCTGAGCAGTGATGCCAGGGGCCAGGGTTACAGTTTTTCCACCTCCTCCTACTCCGTCATGTTTTCTAATGGCCTGAGGCTGCCTCACCCACATTGCTGCAAACCTGAAATGCGTGCCTTTTAAAGTGCATTCATTGTAAATTATGTAATGTCATGGAAGATCAGGAATCTAGAAATCATGAAGGCTCTATGTGACATCAGATAGGACCTTGTTCCAAAATTGGCTTATTACACCGTTTAAAATAAAAAAAGCCTAATGTTTTTGTAATTGGATTTTGTTGCAACACAAGGTGCAGAAAAGTAATGTTCTCTCCTTGAGATAAGGATGTGTTGGAAATGTTACAGATCTGTATTTTAGTAAGGAAATATTGCTAATTTTTGAAACATAATTTTTTTACAATAATATTGAGTCCTTTTTCTTAAATTGGCTAGTTAACCGCCAGCTTGATGAGATGAGTAGAGTTTAGCTCTGCTGTAAGAATGAAACCTTAAACGTCTGTTTTGCTTTTAAACCTTTGCTTTCCTGGTGGAGGTTAAAGGGCAATGGGTAAGTGCTCTATCCCTGTCAGGAAGTCTGCCTCTGAGTAGATGTTTTTGTTCTCCCTGTCACTTCAGTTCTGTGTGAGTACACGTATCTTCGGGTGTCGTCATGGTGGAGAAGCGTAGTACATTGTACGGGGGGGGGGGGCAGGAAGGCGAGCAGGTCTGTGTCCTAGGCTCCTCTGTGCAAGACGCTGGGTCGGAACTGACCTGAAGGCTCTGTCTCGGGCTCCGCACTGGGTCCAGTCTCTAGCTCAGGCCCTGGACAAAAATAAGTTCAAGCGGGTCAAACATAAAAGATACAATTCTAAAAATACTTTTTAGATGTGAGTATTGGAATAGTTATCTGGCTAAGAAATGCCTTTGTAAGTTAAAACCAGAAGCCATACGTGACACAAACAGACAGATTATATAAAAAATTAAAACATTTATGTTACAAAATATGTAAGAGACAAAAGGTTAATATCCACATTATATAAAGATTCCAAAGAGTTAATATGAAAAAACCCACAATTTAGAAAAGTTGGTGGAAGATACGTAGAGACAGTTACAGATGAAAGAGAGCAAATAATTTTTAAAATAAATGGAAAGATGTTTCATTGCATTGGTGATGAGGAAAATGCAAGTTAAAAAATGAGATATTTTTATCCCTGAACTGAGTAAATTTAAAAGTTTGATACTCTCCAGCCTTGCCAAGTGTAGGAAATCGGGCGTCGTAGACATCGTCGGTGTGGTTGCCTGAACCGACTGAGTCCTCGGCAGTGCCTGCAGAGATTGAAAATTCTCAGACATTCGCTTGCCTCCCTCCTCTAGCTGTTCTCCAGCACATGCCCGAGCACATGTGCGCACGGGCGCTCACCGCAGCACGGCTGGGAGCGCGGAATACGGACCAGCCCAGTGCTGCCTCGGGAGGGAGCAGTTTAAGTAAATCACAATGCGGCTAAACAAGAAATGGAATGAAGATGCTCGAAAAAATTACCTACATCTACTTTACAAATAAGCTCTCCAGTTTAGGAAAAAAAGCAGAAGCAATATAAAGAATATAACTGGGTTTTGGTTAAGTAAAAAACTATGTATGTATGTATGTATGTATGTTCGAATGTTTGTGTATGTGTAGTTAACAGTCTGGATATATAGACCTCAAACTGTTAACAGTGGTTAGCACTGGGCAGGAAGGGAGGGGCTTTCTTTTCTAATCTTATGTACTTCTATAGTATTGTCATATTTACAAATGTGTCAGCATTTTAATAAGCCACTAAAAAATAAATCCAGCTTCGAGAGGTGTGGCAGAGATGTATGCCCGGGGCTGATACGGCGCTCGCTTTGTCCTGGGTGTTCCGCGCCCGTGAGGAGACACGGAGCTGCTGCTGGGGGGGCGTGCTGGCCTGCCAAAGGGGCAGCGGCAGTGTCTTCGGTTTTTGTTACAAAGTGGGCCGTGACCCCCCAGATGACGCACCACTGTGCTACCTTTGTGAGGTAACAATCAGTGCAAAAAAAAAAAAAAAAGGAGGAAATTGACATGTAATAGTAACAATTTTGTTATTTCATGAAGTTTGCGTAAGAAAAGTGAGCTTGAAAAATACGTGGTTAGATATACCCCGGTCAGGGGCTCAGTCGGTGGGAGCATCGTCCATCCATCAAAAGGTTGTGGTTTCGATCCCTGGCCGGGGTGTGTATGGGAGGCAACCGATTGATGTTTTTCTCTGTCTCTCTGTCCTCCCTCCCTTCTCTCTCAAATCAGTAAACATAACCTCAGGAGAAGACTAAAACCGGTTCAAAAATATGTCCTTAGAACGTCGCTGTCAACCTCTCTCAGTGAGATAGGTCAGGGTTCACTCGTCGGCACAGTGCTCATGACATGCTCAGGTTGCGTTAAACACCTTTGAAAAGCAGCCACAGCACTTGTTAGATTTTAGACGCGTAGCAGTGTTTTCTTTTTCAACATAGGCAGTCTTGGAGGGGGCTTAAGGAAAAATGTTTCTCTTTTGAAAAAACTTGATTATCAGCCCAATTTTCTCCAAAAACATATTCATTTGTGGTTAACAAACTAAAGTGATATCTTAGACACAGTCCTGTTCTAAATGTCGATAATGCAAAGAAATAGAAAATGATGTCTGCCATTCGGGTTTAAAATCTTTTTAGAAACCAGGGAGAAGTGCATGTTCGGAAAGCCAGACGGTGGTAAAGTGCTTCAGTGGTTGCTCACTGGTTCTGCCACGAGTTTGAAAGGGGAACAGGAATCAGAGTGAACTGAGGTGCTCAGACTTCTGAATGGAAGTTTCATACTTGAGTTTGACCTCGACAGCTAAGGTTTGATACTTTGAGAATCTGTGGCCTGTCTTCTAGTCTGGAGGTCCCGGTGTGTGGGGGTGGATAAGTCCGACTGGCCACGTGGAACGTGGTGGAGCAGCGTGGGAAATGAGAAGACCTGTGCTCGCCGCTGTGTGGCCGAGGTGCGTCTGAGCACGGGCTGGTCGGGTCGGCTGGCCGGATCAGGTGGAGCAGGACCCATTCATCAGAACTGCTCTGGAAGCTGACGAGGAACCGTCCAAGGCCCCTCCCCAGAGTCTTGGGTACAGCGAGTCCATGCACAGGCTTAGCGTCCTCTCCAGATGATTCTCTTGGGGTTTAGTTTCAGGAACTACTGATCTGAGCACTGATAAAACCTAATCTCTCTTTCTTGTCAGGACTAGTCCTACAGTAGTTCTGAAAAAATACCCTCTTCTTAAAATACCCAAAAAAGGAAACTTCCTTAGCAGTTGTCAGCCATCAGCAGGTCAAATCGTTCTGGAAAGTGTCTGTCTTCTCACTCAGCTTTCCTCTCATACCAATTTAAACCCAGTTCTGCCTTTTCTTCTCTGGATGGAGAATTTTTTTTAAACTTACCCTTTCCTTTCTGCCTTCCTTAGATTTTCATAAGCTTACCATCTGAGCACTGCTTGTTTGGTCATATTTAGTCAGAGCATTGCGGCTGTTTGGAGGGGCCAGTGCACGCACGTGGACCAGGGCCGGGCCAGGGCCGCCTGGGGCCTCAGAAGGAAGTTCTGTGGGCACACAGCCAGGTTCCTTCACATACCTACTGTCTCCAGCGGTTTTCTCGTTGCGGCGGCAGAGCTGAGTAGTGTGATAGTTAGAGGAAAAATTTGCCAGCCTCCAGATTGGAGCTTTAAAAAGCAATTCAGTATCCTCACCCAGGAGTTTCGAGGGAAGCCCTCTACTTCCACCGGGCAGACGCACGAAACGCGTGCTGCTCCCAGTGGCTCAGCGAATGCCAGCTCGTGAGCTGGTGGGAGTCCATCCACACCCTGAACCTGTCTGCTCTTCCCGGTCTTTGTCGTGCTTGTGAGGGGAGAGGGGACTGTTCTTCCCTGTTCTTGTGACAAAAGTCGGGGGTTGTAGACATAGTAACGCTGCCTTCCTAATGAAGGTGGCAGCTGTGAAGCACAAAACGCTGAGAAAGGAGATGTGCTATCGCTGGGCTCCAGCCACGTGTGTTCGAGCCTGACAGCCATGGTGTGCTTCCGACTGCGTGCCCTGCAGTGCACAGCGTGTAACTACTCACCTTTTCTAGATCCACGGCATATTCCCAGGCATGTAGGTCACGCCTGGGGTTTGTGCTTCTCACTTGGCTGATTTCCACTGTGATGACGCCAGATACTGGGAGGCAGCTCCATGGGTCTGGTTACATGAAACTGTATTAAGGCCACTGCTGTTAATCTTTTGAATCCCTCTGATTTATAGCCACCAGCATGATTCCACTTTTTGTACTCGTGTCCAAGTCCTCATTGAGGCCTCTGTGTTACAAAGAAGTTAGTAGGCCCCGCTTTTTGGGTTCTTACCCTAGTCTTGTATAATGGTTTTCCACAGTCGGATTGACATTGCGGCTAAAGTTTCCCAAACCCAGGAAGAAATGCTTCTCATTTTCCTATGAGAACCTTTGTGCTTTCTCTAACTGGTTAATTTAATGTGAAGAGTGAATTTTTATTTTATTCTCTGAACATTAAAATGAAAATGTAATTATTCATAAAAATCCCTTAAGAATAAATCCAGTTGATTGAGACTGTTGTTTGGTCAAAGTTGACCAGGGAATTTCTTGGCTAAAAGAGAAATGCTGTGAAGGGAGGGGCAAGTTCTTATTTGCACAGGTCATGGGCAGCCTTTGCCCATCCTAAGTAGTCACAGCAGCTTTCGGAGGGGAGGTGCCTTCTGCCCTGCAGGGGACAGGAATGGGCGTGGTCAGTCTGCCCACAGAGCGGGACATTCCTCGGGGCTTCCGATCCAGCTGCAGGCCGGTCAGCCAGAAGTTTGTTGACCAGAAAAGACCCTGTGTCACAGGGGACCACAGGATACGGGTCAGGCAGCTGGCATCCAGGAAGTCCAGCTTGTACAGACCTGGAGAAGTTCCAGAGAGCCCGTGAGCAGGGGTTGACCCCCCAGCTCTAAGGCATTACTGCTGGCCAGAGGCACACCTGAAGGCTTCTGCCAGACCCGGTTTCTAGAGCAGGGCAGCCCCCATATGCAGGACCAGAGGTGCTTGCTTAAGGCAAGGGCCTAGCGGAGGCCAGGCTTTTAGAATGAGTGGAAGCCCAAGGCGGAGGGCCGCAGTGCAGGCGCCTGGACAGTAGGAGAGGTGGCTTTAACAAGCCCACCACTAAACGCTCATCATATGCCCTGCAGCGCTCTAAATGTGCAACAGCCCTCGCAGCAGCTGGAGCAGACAGGTACAGTTGCGATCCCCACTTCACAGGTGAGGGAGCCGAGGCGACAGGAGGTTGAACTTGCCCCCCAGTGAGCCAGTCGATAAGCTGGAGAAGTGCTGTTTAAGTTGGGGCAGGCCGATTGCTGGGCCCTGCCCCATCCTCGCTTTGCTGTCTAGAGACTGCTGCTACGTGGCTGTGGCTCCTGACTCACCGGCATGGCCTCTCCCCTTTGCCCAGAATGACTGCTGGACCTCCTGAGAAGTTGGGGAGGCCCTGGCACAGGCTGGTTTGAAAACAGCTGTGCTACCAGGGCAAAGCAGCTGCAAAGTTAAAACGTGTCATAATATCACTAGTAAATATAAAGGAGGAAGAAGGAAAGGCATGTAGCCATTTTTGTGTTTAGTATAAAATAAGATTCAAGTAGCCCTGGCTGGTGTGGCTCAGTGGGTTGCAGGTTGGCCTGTGAATTGAAGGTTGCTAGTTCGATTCCCAGTCACACCACATGCCTGAGTTGTGGGCCAGGTCCCTATTTGGGGGCAAACCAAAAGCAACTCATCAGTGTTTCAGTCCCTCCCATTCTCTCTCTCTCAAAAATAAAATCTTTAAAAGAAACTATATTAATAAATAAAATAAGATCCAAGTAGAAAAAATGTCATCTAAAATTCTCATATAGAGAAGCTTTCGGGGTTGCCCAGGAAGTGGAAGGAGCGGTGCAGTGTGGGGGAGTCGATGGTGAGTGGCCAGAATAACAGAACTGGAAGGCGAGATGGAGAACCTCTGAGGGGGCTTGTACTCTGCATGGGCCACGCCCGGTGGAAGAATTCTCCACTTCGAACATGGCTTTTCCCCATGACAAAGAGGTTCCCAGGTGGGGCAGCAGTACTGACGTGCGCCCTCTGTACTGATTGTTTGGTAAGTGACGCGTAGAGTTCAGGAGGGCAGCTGAGTGTCCCACTCTTCCCACCCGTCCCACGGCCTTTCCAGTGCAGGCAGGTGAATGGGTGTTCCACCCGTTACCGACGCCGCGTGGAGTGCGATGGACGTTCGGTCCCGCAGCTCTTTGCTCTTTGTTTGGTTGGTTGTTTACTGAGTATTGGAATGGGTTGGAAAACTGGTATTTCTGCTAATTTTTTGAAATCATTGTTAAGACCCTACCTATTCGTTTCTGTGATTTCTAAAAAGTAACATTAATGTCCACTGAAGTGTTAAATGTTTACTTAGATAGTGTGTTAAGGGATTCGAATAAGATCAGGTCTCCGATAGACCCTTATTTTGACTTACCATAGTCAACATAATTTTCTAATAGTGAATGTAACCGTCCTCCAAACTCATTCTACTGTTGCTCAGAAAATAGTAGAATCATTCTGCTGACTTTGAAGAATCCTTTTGAATCAATTGAAATACGGTGCAAACGTTAGAAGCACTTGGTATATTGAATAGCCTCTGAAATTTTTAAACAGCAGAATTCTGTAGTCTTGTATGCACTTCATGACTATTAAGATTAAGTTTGTATGAAAGAAAACTATGGGACCTTAATAAACATTGTTACTATAAATAATTATTTCCTTAATTTTTCCATCATGTATCTGCAGAGCTTTTCAAAGGCTGGACACAGCAGTCAGCTTTGCTCCCGGTGGAAACCGCCTAAGGCTGTGGTTTTCATCTTCTTGTCTGTAGGCCGAATGACTCCTTGCTTGTCGGAGATTTTTAGAGCACTAAATTTATATTGATTGCACCCTTTGCTTTCAACTTTAAATAATCACCCAATTCAAATTACTTGTGATAATTATGTGACTTCTTGAGTGATGAAATGTGTCAGATCACTTTCCAATTCAAAATAGCTCTAGCAGTTTAAACTGGGGGCCAAAGGACTTCAGGCACTTTCTCTGAACTGCCAGGACTGGAAAGAGGGAAAAAAGGCAAAGAAGCACAGAGGGCAAGAGCCGGAACTGTACGTAGTGCTTCCTGTCTGTCCGGAGCCAGGGGGTAGAAGCGTCTCTCCAGATCCTGGCCTGAGTCAGATGCAGAGCTGTCTGTGCCACGTGTCAGTCTGTTGGGACTCGGGGCCTCGTTCTGTAGAGTGTCTGGTGTCTTTACGGGTCAGTCCCACTGAAACTAAACCCCATGACTCTCCTGCAGGTGGACGAAAGCCAGACTGGAGAGCCGGGATGGCTAGGAGGAGAATTGAAAGGAAAGACTGGGTGGTTTCCTGCAAACTACGCAGAGAAAATCCCAGAAAACGAGGTTCCTGCTCCAGTCAAACCAGTGACGGACCTGACCTCCACCCCTGCACCCAAGGTGGCAGTGAGGGAGACCCCCGCACCTCCAGTGGTGACCTCTGCTGAGCCCTCCGCGACCCCCAACAACTGGGCCGACTTCAGCTCCACGTACGTGCAGCCTTGCTATTGCTGGTGACCTGGAATCCCTGCTGAGAGACCTTTTTCCTTGCAGCGTTGTTACTGTTTGGGGTGTCCATCGCAGGAGGAAGCCGGCTCGCTTTCATTGCCTCTCTGACTGCTCCACTGGCGAGAGGTGGGCGTGGAGCCTCTAGTGGATGTTAGATGCCGTCGCTCAGCCGTGGTTGCCCGCCGCGAATGGAAGCCTGTTCTCTTGTTCCATTTGGTCATCTGTCAGCCGCTTTCCTTCTGGAAGAAATGGAGAACTAGTTTCCTAACGATCTCTTTGATGTCCACATCTGTCAGCAAATACTTAGTCACGTCCTGCATGTAAATAGCATTTCTTGGACAGAAACAGAAATTGACTTCAGTCATGTGGTTCTGAGTAAGAGGGAAAGCTGTTTCTTTTAAAGCTTCCCTCTTCATCCATTTTTTACAAATAAATGGACAGAGAGGAAAGAGGGGTGTGTTCTCGCCCATGACCACTGTTGGTGCTGTGCCCTTGGTCATCAGGAAATGGCATTAAAAACAGGTGTCAGCAAAGGGTGGAGAAGATAGCTGGATTCTGTCCACACGCTCGGTTACAGGACCTTGGTGTAGATGTGCAGTTGTCTAAAAATACTCCACACCAGCATTGAGGTACATGTGATTGGAGTGAGTGTTTCAGTTTGTTAAAGTCTCACCATCTTTCAGAGGAAAGAAATTGAAGACACGGAGTCAAATGCTGGAGAAGGGTCAGACAGCTCAGAACGAGGAAATAGGGGGTGTCGATGACCAAGGGCAGGAGGAAATGCAGGGACGCGTGTGAGGAATAGCAAGTGTTCCCCACTGAGATTTCGTGTGAGAGGCTGAGGGCACCAAACAGAGGCCCCTGTCTGATCTCTGCTGAAAGTAGCCTTCGCTGGCATGAGCCCAAGTTGAAACTCTCCCTTCCTTTCTTGATCTTGATTGAGGAGTGCTGAGTGTTTAGACCAAGGCACAGGCTGAAATAGAAGACAGATACCATGTTCTGTTTCGAGTGGGTCCAGTCGGTGTGGCCCTTCTTCATCGAGTGTGTACTGTGCGGTCTCATTTTCCAAACCCAGATCAGGACGTGCAGTCCAGCAAAGGAATTGTCTTGATTTTCAACTTATGTCTCACAAAGTTGTAAAAAGTAAATTCCATGTAGATCCGTAGTCTCAGAGGTGTGTTTATTTACCATTATAAAGTTACAAAATGAAGCCATCCCAGAGATCCAGGACAACTGGCGTGTGGCCCCGAGGCCCAGGGCTTGCCGTGTGGTGGACGGGATCGCCAAGGGTGCGAAGGGCACCAGCTGCCAACCCGGTGTGTTTTCGTGCCTGGTGTCGAACTTCTTTTTTTGCTGATTTAGCCATTGTTACAAATGACAGTCATGATCGGTGAGGGTGTTTCTCTGGTGCTTTGGAGTTACAGAGTTCTTCCCATCCAGTATTTCATGGGACCCTCTCAACCAGCCAAAGTGTCAGGATACTGTTCCCATTTTACCAGTGAGGACACCTAGGTTCAGAGATTCTGCTCGAATCTGCCTGAGGTTCGTTGCTAGCATGTGACACTCGGACCCCACTAGGTCCAGTGATTTTTCCTCTCCTCCTTATCCTTGAACTTTAGAAAACCCCACCCAGGTCCTGGGTTTGTGTTTACTGGGGGGAAAGCGGGCGAGTTAGAAGTACCTGCTACTCATGGTGGCGTGTGTCTCGTTCCAGGTGGCCCACCAACACGAATGAGAAACCAGAAACCGATCACTGGGATGCCTGGGCGGCCCAACCCTCGCTCACGGTGCCCAGTGCCGGCCAGTTAAGGCAGAGGTCAGCTTTCACTCCAGCCACGGCCACCGGCTCCTCTCCATCTCCTGTTCTGGGCCAGGTAAAAGCAGTCGCTCGGAGTACGGGGACCTAGCATGCTGTAGGGTACCGACATGTTCAGCCAGTGCTTGGGGACTGTGTCATTTAGAAGGAAGCCTCCTTAAATGCATCTGGGCCAGCTGGCGTCCAGTCGTCTTTAAGGAGCCTGGACTGAGTCGTGAATAGTGAGGGAGGGGGAGCCTCTCCTGCCGGGCGCGTTCAGGGAAGCGTCATTGAGGAAGTGGCATTTGTACCACATCTCGAACAACGGGGAAGATTCTACTAGGGAAGGAGAGGGCTGGCATGCCAGACGGCAGGCGCCGTGGGAGAGGCGGTAGGACCAGAAACCAGAGTGTGTTCCAGGAAAATTACGGGGAGTCAGTCCACTGGGCCGGGCCACTGAGTGTTTATTGGAAACCAGACTGATGGCAGGTTAGCGGGAAGCTCTGAAGGGCCTGCTGAGAAAGAGAGACTTCAGGGAGAGTGAGGGTGGCTTCTCCGAGTCTTTCTGTTTTTACTTACTGCACTGAAGATACAGAAACGAAATTTCTGTAAACAGTCAGTCAAACCAAACGAGCAAATGGCCATCTGGTGGGCCCGGGGTGGGCAGGGATAGCTTCTGGTCGGGGAACCGCCAGGCTGAGCGTGGGCTCTGGGCAGATTCCCGTGGACAGCATCGGGACAGCACCGCAGTGAAAGAGGGTGGAGTCCCCGGGCCGCCCAGGGGAGGAGAGGGGTCTGCGGCTGAGAACCAGACCCGACCTTCGAGAGAGACAAGGGAGGCGGAAGGAGAAGCTGGTTATCAGTCAGAGGGAGGAGTTGGGTGTCAGGCGTGTGAAGTTGAAGGTGAGAGGGGGACACTGGGGGCCCCTTCTGGACGTGAATCAGACCGAAGGATGTGTGGGAGGTCCTCAGAGGAGAGAGGAGGTGGGGGGAAGATGGGAAAGAGGGGCGCGTGTGCGTTCCGCGTGCCGGAAGAGGCGCTCCTGGCAGGTGTTCCTTTCCTTCGTGTCCGTCCCAACTGTGCAGTTAGCGCGGGTCCCCTGTTTGGTCACGGACCTCAGTGGAGGAGGAGGGGCTGTTTCCAGAAAGGAGGGTGTGCTCCTGTTATCCAGGGGTGCGGTCCTAGCAAGACAGAGTAGACTGCAACGGGGTAAAGACCAAAGGAGTTGGTGAGAGAGAAGAACGATGAGTAAAGAGGAGGAGAAAATAATGGGTGTGAGGTGGAAACACTTTAAAACACAGAAAAGAGGATTCTTTTTCTTCTGGGAGAGGGAGGGAGGAGAGAGGTTGGAGGGAGACGCAGGATGGAAAGCCGTTGAGGCCGAGCTCCTGGCCGCATCTGAGGGGCCCAGAGGGCTGCGGGCTGTGTGCAGTCCAAGCTCAGCGAAGAGGAGGGCGGAACTGCTTGGCTGAGTTGAACCTGAACCTGTGACTGGTCATTGTACATTGTTCAGCTCTCCCCAGTGACCCTTCACAGTTGGGGGCTAGAAATAGTGTAGTGAAGGCCCCTGCTGTGGTTAGGGTTACTACTGTCGCAGCGACACTGGTGGGGGCGCTTGTTAAACTTTCTTGACAACCTTTTAAAGAAAGTATTTCTGTTCTATAGATGCAGAGAGTGAGGCCTGGCAAGATTAAATAGTTACCACGGTCACAAAATTAGTAGGTAACAGACCTGGGATTTAAATCGAGTCCAAGTTCTGCCTGAGCCCTGCTGGGTTATTCGGGCACATCATGTAGAAAGACGGACAGGGCGAGCCCAGGCAGGACTCGTCGGGGGGCAAGATTCTGCAGTAGCCCTGAGGGTGTGGTTGAAATGCTGACCCGAGGGCCCCTCTTTTCAGAGGAGCAATGGAAGTGGCTGAGCGGGTCAGACCGCGCAGAGCTGGGAGAGCCTTGGTGGTGGTGGGGGGGGGCGGCTGCTGAGCCTCCCTCGAGAGTGAGGGGAAAGTGGGGGTGAGGGACAGGTGCTCCTGGGGGTGTCCGCAGTTCAGAGAGACCGTCTCAGTTCTGAGGATTTCCACAGTGGACGTGGGAACGGGGTTAAGAAGGTGAGAACCCTATAGAGTAGGATGTAGATATTACCCACGTAGATGCTGAAATGATTCGACCTGTCCCGAGTTCTCAGTGTATCAGACGTGATCATGAGTGTCGACGTGCGAATATCTTTGAGGGCAAACACAAACCGGTTCTGAATGGGCTGTCTCTGGGCATTACCCTGTTCCCATCCATTCAGTAGCATAGTATTGAAAACTGACCTGTTTTTTAGAATGGTTCTGTTTTAACAGTCTTTAAAAAGGTAATAAATGCCTTGCCCTGCCTTTCCAGCCTCATCTCCTCCTCCACCCCTCCATGAAACTAGGCTGCACACCCCCCCCCCAACGGTGCCCCTCCCCGCAGGCCCTGTCCACATGCCCTGCCCTCGGCATACAGTGTCCTTCCTCCAGAGCCCTCAAATCCTCTTCCTCCTCCTCCTTCAAGGCCCGGCTGCCCCCCTTCATCTCCCCCCACCCCCTGTAAGAAGCTGGTCCTGTTGCCACCAGACGGAGCCCCTCCAGCTTTCTTCTCTGCCCTGCTACCCCTTTGCCCCCCATGAATAGCTGGAACCTCTCTAGTGTATTTCTTTTGCCAGGTGGCATTTATAATTGTTTGCATCTCTTCTTTCCCATTAATTGTGAGTTCTTTGCTAATGATGTCATACCATCCCCTTTTATAGTGTTTGGTGGCTGATAAAGAGTTTTATCCTAAGTCATTTTGGGCAGGCAGAGTTGGCATTTTATTCATGTTTGTACCCCATAGTGTCTTGCATATGGTTCTCCAGGACACAGGGGTCGCAGTGGACTCAGGCTAAGCAGACCCCCGCTCTCCTGAGCAGGAACTAAAGCAGCGCATGTTCCCTGTGTCTCTTCAACTAAGATACCAGTTCCTCCTCCTCTGGGATCTCATAATATTTCTCCTCCATTGTTAACCTTCAACTAAACATCCATGTCAGATTGGAAATGGAGGTGGGATGCCCTGGGCAACTGGAGAGTTAAAATAGAACCAAAATATAGAAGGCACACAGCCAAGTGCGACAGAGTAAAGGTGGCCTCCTGGCTTGTTTAACCGGAGAGTTCTAGGTGGCCGGACAGTGGCTCTGTGGATGGGGTGCAGGTTTCGACACCACTTTCGAAAAGAAATTGTTCCTGAGTGGCAGCGAAGCATCTGCAGCCCGTGCTGTTCTGTAGGGGGCACTCGGCTGTGTGTGTCCACGGGGTGGGGGGGTGGGGTGCTGGCGTGGAGGCGCCGGCGCGCGTCGCCTGGACCGCAGCCGATCACACCCTAATGCACACTCCTTTGTGTTATCACACAAGGGCGAAAAGGTGGAGGGGCTGCAGGCACAAGCCCTGTATCCTTGGAGAGCCAAGAAAGACAACCACTTGAATTTTAACAAAAATGACGTCATCACCGTCCTGGAACAGCAAGACATGTGGTGGTTTGGAGAAGTTCAAGGTCAGAAGGGTTGGTTCCCCAAGTCGTACGTGAAGCTCATTTCAGGGCCCATAAGGAAATCGACAAGGTACTTTTGTGTTTATCTGCTTCTCTGACATGAAAACAGTGTTAGACATTAAATTATTGTTTGCATAGTCCTGATTCAGATAGGGGTTGCAGGGGTCTTTTGTCTTCTTTTAACTGAAAAATTAGGGCACGTGTGAACAAGGATGCAGCTTCTTACAAATAAGTGCTCATTTCTTCTTCCCTTGTGGAAGCCCGTACATCTTATTTTTCATTAACTCCTGCAAGAGGGAGTTCTCTGGGACTCGGAACACTCTGGTGGAGTTGTTGGCACTTAGCCTCTCCGTAAGCTTAGCACCCACTGTTGTCCCAGATACTCGTGAATACATGGAGGCCCAGAGCCTGTGGGGAAATACTTGGAAGAATGAATTATCTTTTTCATTAGGAACCTTGTCACGAGAAACCTTAACAAGATTGTTGTCTAATTATTCTAGTCATGCAGACGTTCCAAACAAATTGTGAGCTTTAAGAAGAGAAAAATAGCACAAGTGGCAGCCGAGCATCTCAGTCTCGCTTTGACGTCGACCCGCGTCGGCTCTGTGTGCAGCAGAGCGCGGTGCAGAGAAACAGGGCTGGGGCGCTCGGGTGGTGCTGGGCCCGCTGTGTGTTTCAGCTGTAGCGTGTTCGAAGTTTTGAATGTTAAGCAGCTGTAAAAAAAAGGAAAAGTCAGTATCCTTTGTACTGTTTTCTTTGAAGATAAAAATTAAAATCCTTTCCCTTCCCCTCTTTCAGCATGGATTCTGGTTCTTCCGAAAGCCCTGCTAGTCTAAAGAGAGTAGCTTCCCCAGCAGGCAAGCCAGCCGTCTCGGGAGAAGGTGAGAACCAGACTCAAATTATGTTCTTTAAAAGGGTCGCAGAAGTCACGTGGTACAAACAGGATGTCTGAGCTGAGGTTGGGTGTCACTTTAAAAGAGACCACGCTGCAATGTGTTCAGTGAAGTCCGAGGTAGAGGAAAGTGCAGCTCCTTACAATGTTGAAGCGCGTACGAAGACGTCCAAGATAGTGTCAGACATATTGATCCTAAAACCTGAATTTCCTAATTACATTTGGTATGAGCCTTGACTTTTGAAAGAGTCCCATCAGAGACACTGAGGATCAAGCTTCCTGAGCATCTTGAAGGCTAAATTGTAGACACGGCTGTTCTTTGACTTATACAGATCAGGATTTTGTCTTGAAACTGTCACTCACAGCCCAGTGAAGCTGTCAAAGTGAGCCCAGCGTCATCTGTAGTGCCCCAAGTGAGACAAGTTCAGTGTCTGGGTTCCGTGGAAACAACCACACCAGACTAGTTAGGCCTAAAAATTCCTTTTTGAGCGTTTATTATACAAATCATTGGTTGCTCCACTTCCTGGACTTTGCTTCATGACGTGACCCTAAGTAAGGACTGCGCGTGCCAGTATGTGGCAGGGTTTGTACGTGAACCAAACCACCATCTGTTAGGCTCTGATGGCAAAAATCTCATGTCGTAATGGGCAGTCGTAAGGCCTGTTGTGACTGCCCCGCCCCCGAGTCCAGTGTTCTGTGCAGTTCAGTCTTACCGGAGCGCCCGGGGTCGACCTTTGCTACCTCACCGCCTCACCCTGTACTTTGGCGCATGCCTTCACTTCCCCTTCAGTAAAGTGGGCATCACAACCACCCTTTCAGTTAGAAATGGTTACAAGGATATGAAATAATATGTATGAAGTTTTTAGAAGAAAGGTCAGTAAATGTCTACCACTGTTACTTCCCTCCCGCCTCACTGCAGGGTCACTGCTAGGGCCACCCCAGCTGTGGTGTGGGCGAAGCGACTGGTTTGGAGACACGCACAGAGGCCTCGACACTCGGGGCCTCGATAACTAGGTCACAGATGAGCCACGTGCATGAGTCACATTGGGCAGGAGAGGAGAGGAGAATTCTAATCTTGGTTGGCATTTATTACATCCATTCTGAAATGACTTACATATTAGAAATTCTAAGGATGATGGCGTCTGGAGCGGGTGGGAGGACTTTGACATCGCAGAGTCTGAGAAAAGCTATTTACCAACATTAACGAGCTGCTTGTTAGTGCTGCATTAAACATAATCAAATTTAAAGTAAACCATAAACCAGGTTAATTAGATTGTCAGTTGGGTAGCTCTTAAAATAGCGGCTTAGGAGCAGCCAGTGCCCAAGTTCAGCTGTGTCTCATGGGGAGAGTCTCGGTGGTGGCGGCCCGGGTGTGGCAGCTGTGTTCCCCGCAGACACCTGTGTGCGCGGCTGGACACGGAAGCTCCAGTCCTCCCAGCCTCCTCGGGATCTCACACCAGCTGCACTGCCAAGGCCAGCTGGAGTTCATATCTTCAGTGACCAAACATGACTAAGGAAGAAGCAAAATGGAAAGGGAAGGGTCAGAATACTGGGAAATCAGAAGAGGACTGTTAGTGGGAAAAGAATGACCTTGTCACAGCCACCGAACTTGGCGTCCTTGTGCGAGAAGTCACTTCTCCAGTTTTAACCATGCACACGCGTGTTGCCAGCACGGAGGGCTAAGGACAGGGAGTCTTCTCTTCTGCCGGGCACATCTGGGTCCCCTCTGTCTGCCACAAGGCCCGGCTGGCCCGTGGGTCAGCACTGCTGAAGTCGAAGTGGCCCTGTGACGTGCTGGCCCCTGTGTAGAGCTGCCCTGTGAGCACATGCAGCAGGTCCCAGGCCGCTACGTCCCCTCCGGCTCCCGTGAATGCTGCTGCACGGCCTCTGTGAGCCGGGGGCCGCCCCACGCCACACCTCGGCCTGCCAGCCAGCACCGGGCCCCACAGTTGAGGGCCAGCAGTGGACGTTTGAGCAAGAAGCATGTGGTATTAATGCAAGAAGCATTAAACTAAACTCCTGGGGAAAGGGTGATTTTTTAATTGCTTTTTAGAAAATATACAAAGGCTTAGGATAAAGTGGAGGAAAAGTAAAAAAGAAATCCTTTATCTGTACCTAGTGTACAGTGATCTTTCTGAGAGTGGGACTTGGTTTCTGAGTCTTAATAAAATTGGCTGATTATAATCAAAAAGACTTTCCTCTGGAAGGTACACCCTTCCTGTTCAAGACAATAAGGAACATTAGTTCTTATTCTTGAATAATTAAATGTAAGAAACCGATTTACCTTTTCAACCTGTTCAGGAAGGCTGGAGTATTTTCTGGGATTGGCTGTGAACAGCCTTTATCATCAGCCTGCTCTACCTGTGTGAGCCCCGGGATACCAGAGAGGCGCTCCTGGAACAGAATAAATAACTCCTGTTTTTACTTGGTGTTTGAACAGCCTCCTGCCATTTGTGGGTGTGGCACAGCAGGGCATAGGTTTCATCCAGGCCCTTGAATAGTGAAAAATGTGTCCTATTTAATTTGCATAAAGGATGTACTACTACTGTATCTAAAAGTTTTCGAGAATTGTGAGTTGGTACCCTCACAACTGAAATGCAGAGATTTGACTGCACCCCGGCAACCTCGGGGGTGGCTCAGCACAGCAGAGTCCCCAGCAACTCTGAGTTACAAGTCACTGTCACCATCACTTCCATTTTGAAAAGAAGCCACAACGTTAAATTGTAGGCCACTCTTGGTACTCGGCACAGACACTCGTGTGAGGTTCTGCCCCGTCTGCGGTCACTGAGTGTGTGTGTGCGCGGCCGGCGACTCGGAGCCCGGGGGTCCTGGTGCTCTGTTGTCTGGGACCAGACTTCTCTTGAATGGCTCTTATCCCCCCTTCCTCATCATCGACTTTCGTTTGCAAAGCTGTTTGGGGTTTCCGTGAACAACCAAGCTCTCTTCGTGTCTCGATGTCTCTCCCCACCAGAGTTTATTGCCATGTACACTTACGAGAGTTCTGAGCAAGGCGATCTCACCTTTCAGCAAGGGGATGTGATTCTGGTGACCAAGAAAGATGGTGACTGGTGGACAGGAACAGTGGGCGACAAGTCCGGAGTCTTCCCTTCTAACTATGTGAGGCTTAAAGATTCAGAGGTAAACTCACGTTTAACTGTCTCCTCTCCCTTTCTGTGCAGTAATTCTCTTTGTAGGGAGGCTCAGGTGTCTGACGGGGGGGGGGGGGGGTGCTTGGCTGGGTTTTGCTAAGTTCTGGAATGTGGCGGCCAGTACAGCATGACCTGTGCTTTTGAACTTGTCGTTGGGTGCTGCAGGGTGCGCCTTGGCTTCTTCCCCCAAGCAGAAGAACCCCTGGGCTGACGGAGGGTGCGTGTGACCAGGCCACGCTGCGTCAGCAGGGACAGTGATGTTCAGGGTTCATCTCCCTTCCTGCGTGGAGCTGAGTCAGGACTGGGAGTAAACGCTCTTGATTAGGCTTCATGGGCACTGCCTCGGGGCACCCCAGAAAAGACACACAGCAGTGTTCAGCCCCTGTAAAGTGTTTCGTGATCCTGCCCTAGGATTTTGGCAGTAAAGAGTTTCTAAAATTTATATTTTCATCTACCCGATAGAAAGACATAAGATCTGGGAGATTGGTACACTTTTGTCTAGGCCTTAGTATTTTCGCTGGTAAGGGCCTGAATTTATTGTAAGTGCTGTTATCCTTGTAAACTGGAAATGACCCCCTTGTTGTTAAATGGGGCTCCAAAAATTCAGTCAGTTCCATGAACTGAGCTCCTGGGATAGTGCAAGTTTAACGAAACTGCGGGCTGGGTCTGTCTCATAGGGGCCAGTGTCACGTCAGGGGAGGGTTAGAGTGTCAGAGTTGTGTGGCACCACTGCACGTGCGTAACCCAGCAGGGACTGACAGCAGCTCCCAGTCCGTTCTCCTTCCCTCACATTTCCGGGGCACAGAGAGAGCAGAGGGGCCGAGCACCTAGAGAGCCACCCCCTCGTGGGGGGGGGGGTAGGGGACAGCGTTCTCCCTCCTTTGAGTGACTCCTTGGCAGCGAAGGAGCTCCTTGGCAGCAAAACCAGGCCTGGAGACGAGTCACTGTCTCCAGCACCGGCCCCCTCACCTCCCCTGCAGGTCCCTGGAAGAGCTTCATTTTGCTTGGCTTGTTTTCTTAGGGAGCGTCTGTATTACTGTTCTTGTTTTTTCCTTTTCCTTCACTGTGGTCTTGAGAACAGCTTGCTGTAACTCCCTGGATGATTTGCAGGAGTCCGGTTCCTGGGGAGAATCTGCGGCAGCCAGGAGGAGAGCACCTCCCTGCAGGGCTGGCCCATCGGCCAGCGGGGCCAGTCGGAGTCCTGTAGATGATTGATCAGGGGAGGGCGCTCGAAACTAAACTCGATTTCTGTGACCCTGCCCGACAACACTTACAGTGACATCACCTTTTGGAGCAGTTAAAACACTAAAGCCATGACTTACATTTTAATACTTACATTTTTAAATAGTTTTTTTTTATTAAAAAGAATTTGAAGTAAGTAAAATAAATACACTATAATATTTCTTAAAGATAATCTTGGTTGTAAGGTGCTTTCTAAATTGTTAGCCACAGAAGAACTAGCAGTGTAAAGATTTGGGATATTTACCTACATGATTTTATAATAAAAAAATCTAAACAGTCAGCACATTCATCCTACTTGAGCATAGAATTCTGTGTGTGCAGAAAATATCTTGCAAAGGTAAAGACCAAGACCAGCCTCAGATTCCAGAATTGCCCCCGGGCGGGCAAGGCTGGGCATCCCTGCCCCACCTCCCCGGCTGCGAAGGGCTGGTCTGCGAAGGGCTGGGGCGTAGGCCGGGCAGCCTTCCCCAGCTTTCCTGAGCAGCGCCAGGGCGGTGCCCCGCCATCCGCCGGGAGCGCACCGAAGCTACTGAAACTCTAGTGCCGGGCATTGCCAGTTGCTTTGTTCTCTTCATGGAGTATCTGGGGCATGTAACAAGCCTGTCCTGGGAAGGTACCTGGTCATTTGGAACCTTGTTTCATTACTATTCCTTTATTTTGATACACAGCCTATAAAAATAGCAAGGGAGATGGTGTATATAACTCCATTAATTCAGAAACCATAATGAGAGGAAAAGTTTTAACTCAAACCTTCCCTGGTAAATGGTGATTACATTTCAATAACCAAAATAAAGGGATTATGATAAGTTGTGTTCCTTGGTAGGTAAATTATATACTTTTATGCTTATAGTAACTCTCATTAAGTTTATTCAAGCTTTTGGTTTAACCAGAATACTTCATTTACTGTGAAAATGGTGGCCGAGGGGTAGAAATTCAGGACAAAGCAGTTTGTAACGGCCGAGCCTGGCCGGCCTCTGTGCTGACTCAGGGTCCCTGCTGGCTTTCTCAGCCGGTCTGACGTCCCAGGGGTGTCCATCAGGCAGCTCAGCTCACTTCGGGGCACTGAATAGTTGGGGGGGAAAGATGTCCTGCTTTTGCGGAGTGTGCGCCCAGCACTGATAGAGAAAGTCGGGGATCGCATGGTTCAAGATGGGGGGCCAGGACACGGCAGAGTGGCGGCCTCTGAATAAAGAGGTCGATGGGGTGGGGGAGGGGCGTTTGAATGGGCACTGTAGTTTTTTTGTTTTTTTTAAGAAAGCTCTAAAGGCAATGAACAAAATGTTAGTGTTTTCCTGTGCTGCACGTGGGCACTGGGCTCTCGGGTGTCCGTGCTTTCTCTGTGCGGACACTTCCTGACTCACTGCTTGAGCAGACAGCACAGCCTGTCCAGCGAAGAGCAGCGGTCTCCCTAGCGGGGCACCGTTCGACTCGGCCCTGGGGACAGGACGTGTCTGTGGGGCACGCCCTCGGTGGCCAAGCCCTCGGGATCCTCCGGGGCTGCCCACTTTGCCGCTTCTTCTCAGAAAAGAGCAGAAGCTGCATGAGTCCTTATTCTGCCCCCGGTTTTCCCCAGTCCGTGTCCTGCCGTCAGGAGATGCAGGGCTGCCATGTTGCCCAAGATGAGGAGGGGTTCGGGGCTCAGCGGGTTTGTGTCTCCATTAATCGTTGAAATTACATGTCCAAAACTCTTCATTATGCAAATGAGACCTTTTGCTCTGTTTTAAGGGCTCTGGAACTGCTGGGAAAACAGGGAGTTTAGGAAAAAAACCTGGTAAGTCACAAACCCTGATGCTTCTTTTTTAATGTTTTGGATGTAATTGATAGTTGCTTCCAGTTTGTGTTTATTACGGCCAGGAGCCTTAGAAAAAAAAGACAAAGGAATTTTCCCTAAGAGTGGCTGGAGTCGATCCTCTCCTTGGAATCTATTAATAATGTCCACATGTTCTTCACACGTGGGGCTTGGGGACATCAGCAGCCTGCGTGTTCTCTTGGGTCACGAAGCGGGACTTCCAGCAAGATGGCGGGAAGTTGTAGGGCTTGGAGTCAGCTGCTGTTTGGTCACTCTTGTTGGACTCGGGAAGCCCTTTCTGCTCTCCTGACGGCATGTTCCATCCCAGGCTGTGAATGGTGGGTGTCATGAGTTTTGTTGGAGTGTGGGTTTCATGAAGTCAGAGGCCATTGGGTACACGTTGAAGGTACAAAATTATAGTCATCTGGTCATTCCCTCCGAATTTAAAGTGTTCCATTAAAGAAGCGTGAAAGAGAGAGGAAAGAAGCAGATGTGAAATCATAGTGTTTGTGTGGCCCATCTTCCTCATCTAGGTCATTTGAGGAAATCAGAGGTTGGAAGAGGTACTGCCGTGCCCAGAAGGGGTCTGCGCATCTATGTGGTGCTCCGCCCCACGTGGCCTCACCTGGCAAGGGAACGTGGGGTTTCGGGTTGTCTTAGGGTTTTTGTCAGACTCGGGTGCTGGGCCGCCTGGCTCCGACCTCTGCTGGGCCTGGGAAGAGTCTGCATTTGGGACTGTCGTTCCGCAGGGTCCACAGGGGCCCGACTTTGCACTGCAGCGGTGAACTGCTCAGGGACACAGAAGGCGGAGAGGACACTTGGGGCAGATCACTGGCTACGTGTGCCAGGCCCTTCAAGGAGCAGAACGTCCGAGGCCAAATAGGTCACCTATGGGGACTTTGTCCAGGCCGAAAGCTGGAGCCAGGCCCCGGTGAGCCCGGGACCACGTCTGGTGCCCAGCTCAGATTTCTTGCTAGAGCCCTCGGCAGGGCCCCGGCCTGAGCGAGCCAGGCCCTGTCTCGCTCTCCCACAGCTCTCCTGAGCATCCAGTGTGCCCGGCGAGGTGGCCCGCAGGCCAGAGGGGGCCTTTTCACCCCTGTTTAAAAATCCTCACCCAAGGATATGGGGTTTTTTAATTGACTTGAGAGAAAGAGAGAGAGAGAAATTTATGTGAGAGAGAAACATCAGTCAGTTGCCTGCTGTGTATGCTCCCTGACTGAGGATCGAACCCACAGCCTTTTGGCATCTGGGACAAAGCCCCAACCAACTGAGCCGCCTGGCCAGCATGCACCTCTTTTTCTTATTCCCTTTCTGCCTCCCTCTCCCTCTCTTCCTTCCCCCCTCCCTTCCTACATTATGGTGGGGTTGGAGTGTAGAGAAATAGAGCAGTGTGCCCGTATTGCCTGTAGAAGTTCAGAAAGCAGCCACGCGGCTGCACCAGAATCCCACCGGAGAAGACTTGGTCGCGGCGTGCCCGACCTGTCCTGGCAGACCTGGGCTTCTCAGAGCCTGGTCTGCGGCCCTGCTAGCATTTTTCTCATGACTTTTTTAACAGTCAGGAAAAGTACAGAACTGTTTACATTTTTTTCTGTGCTGAATTGTTTTTGCATAAAATTCCCACCTTAACTTCGAGCTCCTCCTTAACTCAAAACGAAAAGCAGTAAACTTCCACGGACATGATTTCTGCCTGATACTCAGGAATCACCCTCAAAACGTGAGCCGCACAGAGATGGGCTTTGTGGGTGGGGTGAGTCTAAGTCTAAGTTAGTCACAACGTCGCCGAGAGACAGTTTCTGTTTCTACCGCCTTCCTTTATTCACTTAACCATCGGTGAGTAGACTGTGGGGCAGAGGGTGGTGGGGGTGAAAGGGGCCCGGCCCTTGGCCTTGGGTGCTCATGGCAATGGGGGAGGGGCTAGGACAGAAGGTGCAGCATTTGGGGTGGGAGGGGCAGTTTGTGGAGGGAAGGTAGTCGGCGCCGAAAGGTGATGAGGGGCCGAGAGCGGGCTGCGATCGAGAGTGCTGCACGTGCGGTGTTGGTCATGGGAGGGGGGGCGGTGGGGTCAGCCTTCCTGGTGCAGGAACGAGCCCCGCAGCTTGGCTTCAGTGATGTGAGCCCGGGAGCGGCCGTGTCTTAGGATGTCCCTCCCCTGACTGTAACAGTGCACCATGATGTCTGGTGGTGTTTTTCAGAGATCGCCCAGGTCATTGCCACCTATACAGCCACCGGTCCCGAGCAGCTCACCCTGGCCCCTGGGCAGCTGATTCTGATCCGGAAAAAGAACCCAGGTGGCTGGTGGGAAGGAGAGCTGCAGGTGAGCATCTTCTCTGTTGTTTGAAATTCTCTGTCCAGACTTGAATATGCAGAACCACAGAGGACCACTGTGACTTCACCATTCCATTGTAGAGTGATCCTGCGTTTGGGCGGGAAGATACTGACAGCCGGGTGCAGAGTCTTGGAAGTTGAGGGTTCTTCTGAAGATGGGTCCAAATCCGTGGGTCCCTGAGTCAGGTAGCGAGTGTCAGGACAGTGAGAATTCATGATGAGGAACATCCGAAGAGTGTCATCCTTTATGGCTTCCTGTCTGTGGTGTTATGAGGTCCAGCAGCAGGTTTCTGGATGTTCAAAGCCACATCCGTACTTCACAAGGGCTTCAGTCATCGGGGGAGTGCACGCACACGTGTGTGAACTGTTTCGGCCTCTGTTTTGGGTGGAATGCAGAGGGGCAGTCACAGCACTTCTCCCAATCCAACTACTCTCTTCATCTCAGACAGCAAGGGCCACGACCACAGGTCTCGGCTCACCACCTTGCTTAGAAGCCCCCCTGGGCCACGCAGGCTCCCTTTGCAGCGGCACTGGCGTGTGAACGCCCAGTAACTGGGTCTTGTGTTGAATGAGATCCAAGGGAAGGGGAAGGAATGGCTGTGGCCATCATGTAAGCCTGATGGTTTTTGAGAACAATGTCAAGTTTAGACTCCTTGTGTTCTATGCATATTGCATATGTATCTGCAGTTGTCTGTTATCCATAAGAAGAGGGCAAATATGATATGAATCTTGGCTTGCCACTAAGTGGCCTGTGACCTTGAGACTGTCACTTCACTTTCCCGAGCCTTGCCTTCTTTGGGAGGAGGGAGTAGTCATACTTTTATCCTTCTGGAACTGTGCAGATAAATGCTTGTCAGGTGTGCGTGGCACAGGCCTAGCTCATAAAAAGCACTCAGTAAATGTTAGTGCTATTATTATTGTTCCTAAAACCCACACACAGCATTGGCATTGGCCGTAGTCTTACATTACCTGGTGTTAACAGCTAAGACGTGAGCGGTTCCCACCTCGTGCACACTGCCCTGTGCTCTGAATTGTCATCCATACCACCCCAGGCAGTCAGGCAGGTGCAGTGCCGGCTCTGCTGACCGGCCACCACCATGATTTGAACTTCGCCGCAGTACTTCCAGTTGGCACTGTGGCAGCCCGAGCTTCCACCGTTAATGTCAGTGTCCTTCAGTTTGCGCAGGCCTGTGTCAGTGCTGTTACAGAGCAAGCTGCCCCATGAGGGAGTAGGAGCCTTCTACACATCTAGATACGATTGTTTTCTCTCGCTAGGCACGTGGGAAAAAGCGCCAGATAGGCTGGTTCCCTGCGAATTATGTAAAACTTTTAAGCCCTGGAACAAGCAAAATCACTCCAACTGAGCCGCCTAAGCCCACGGTGTTCCCGGCAGGTAAGTGGTTTACTGTCCTCGCTTGCGAATGGTCTGCCTGTCGTGTGGGTCCCTCTCTTGTTCTTGTGAAGCCGCTTAGGCTGTTGTTCACAGCAGCTGTGAGGGCCCCTTGCGCCCCACGGATGTGCGGGGAGCATTTTCATGGGACCGAGGACCTCAGCAGCTCTGCCTCGCGGGCACAGCGGAGCCCTTGTGGGAACTGTCTTCCTGACAGTCGTGAATGCCATGGCGTCAAAGCCAGATTTTTCTCTTGATTCCCTTCCAGCTATTTAAATTTGGATCTGGGCTAGGGGGTAAGGGGACAAAAAGGGACTCCTAGAAATAAATGGCTGGGGTCTAAATGGGTCAGGAGATGGAGCCAGAGGTCACTGGGGGTCTACTGGTTGCAGTGTGCTGAGCCCAAAATGACTACCCTGTGGCATTTCCCGTGAACACAGGGGCTCTGCTCCCTGGGCAAGATGTTGCTCTCAGTTCCCTAAAGGACTGGAAGGGGCGCCGGCTCCACAGCTGAGTGGCTGGCTGTTCTCTGATTGGAGAGACCAGATCAGATGCTTCAATCAAATTTTAGATGGGTAAGGGGAGGGGAGCAGAATTCAGCTTTAGGTCTTTAAGCCACCAGTTCTGGGGTGGTATTTGTGGAAAATGCAGAGTTTGCGTTCAGCGCCTGTGGTTAAGTGTGTGTGCTATGCATCCCCAGTGAAATAAGATTAAAACGGGTCAGTCTCTGCAAAAAATGAAGGGTCGGCCAATCTTGTGGCTGCTGCCTGACACCCCCCCCCTTGAGCTGTGGCGTTGTGTGAGCAGAGGGTGTGGCTCCCGCGGGGCCCCTTCTCCTCTAGGGAGGCTTGGCTGTGTCCCCTTCGTTGTAGGGTTGGGTGACACCCACAGAAGTAATTTGCTGAGGCCATTGAATTAGCTGGAAAATTCGAAAAACCTAAGCCTACATACAAGCTGATCATGAAAGGTTAATCGGGGTACAGCCTAACTCTGCAGCCTCATCTGAAGTGTAAAAATGTGGGAATTTCTGTAGGAAATGAGACAGGAAAACTTGTTCTTGAACACCGGGATTTCTTTCTTTAAAACAAAATTTTGATGCGTAAATATTCAGCAGAATAAAACACTTGATTTACTTTACACTAAGATTTGGAATTTTTGGAGGTCAAATGATCATTACCTTCCACCTCAAAAGAAAGAGCTAAAAACTAAAGGCCCCACGCCACGCAGCTGTCCCGGGCAGTCGGCCAGGCCCTCTGCGTCAGCATGTTAAAGGGATGCCACTGCCGTCACATAGAAACAACTGCGGGAAAGCATCCGGTTGTCACTGTGGATTTCCTGCTGACAAGCAAACACAAAAAGAGGAAGATACTACAAAAACTAAAGCCTTAGTGTGAGATTTTGCCAATGTCTTGGTTTTGAACCCTTCGTCTTCCTTTTTTGCCCACGCTGCACAAAGCCACCAGAGCACCTTAACTCTGTCCACTGTGGAAAGGACAGAGAGAATGCGTGAGAGTGTCCAGCGCCCCAGCTGGCTGCCCCACGGGCCGCGCAGCACGGCCACTCACCCGCCCCGTCTCCCGCAGTGTGCCAGGTGATCGGGATGTACGACTACACCGCCCAGAACGATGACGAGCTGGCCTTCAGCAAGGGCCAGATCATCAACGTCCTCAACAAGGAGGACCCCGACTGGTGGAAAGGAGAAGTCAGCGGGCAGGTGGGGCTCTTCCCATCCAACTACGTGAAGCTGACCACAGACATGGACCCGAGCCAGCAATGTAAGTGCCCGGCGGCTCTGCGCCCCCCCCCCTGCTCCCCCCGGTGAGACATGCAGCATTGCTCTGATCCTGCCGCGCTGCGTTTGCAGAACGTGGAGCGAGGCCATGGCTGCGTCCGCAGTCTCTTTCAAGACCTTCTGTAGTGCGAGGCTTTATCTTGTGGGGTTGTTTTTTTTTCATTCCTTCTGTGGCATGTCCCCTCCCTCCCTTCCCCCCTTTTCTTTTATTTTAATCATTTTTGCACCATGCTGTTTACATGCCTGACTCATTTTCCTAGCTTGAATTTTGCTCATTGTTTTGTTTTGCTTATGTGTTGTTTTCCTCCTTTTTCTAGGAATCATATGTTGTCCATCCCCCCCTCAGGCTTGAAAGTCCTCAAAGAGACCCACTATCCCATATCACTGCCCAGAGGGATGATGGGAGATGCAGCCTTGATCATGTGACTTCCAGCATGATCACCTACTGCCTTCTGAATAGAAGAACTCACTGCAAAGCAGTTTACCTCATTTTACCTTAGTTGCATGTGACGGCAATGTCGAATTATTACTTGCAGAGACAGAAGCAAAAATTACAAAAACTCACAGGGTAGTGGGTCCTTTTGTGGCTTTCCTGGTGACTCAAATTGACTGCCCCCCACCTTTGCACAGGTGCTTTCAATAGTTCTGAAATTATTTTTAAATATATATTTTAGCCTTTTAATAAAATAAGTAAATAAATAAATAAATAAATAAATAATACATTACTTCTTTGCTGTTTTGGTTTTGCAAAAAGACCCACTATCAAGGAATGCTGCATGTGCTATTAAAAATGTTCCAGTTGTCCATAAATCTGAGACTTGCTGTATTTTTTCACTTTGCCCAGTGTTACAGCTCTGTTGTGCAGTTTGGTTGTCCCCTGCCTAGACGTGCAGAGGGTCAGTGTATCTGTTTAAAGACGGCAAATTGGCCCGGGAAGCAGAAGGTGTCCCTGCCTGTCTGCGTGTCCCAGATGTACCTTGTGGAGCATGTAATCATGCGCCCCGTACATACAAAATCGGTTCCTTCCATGGCATGAGCGCCACCTTGTACGATGAGCCGATCGTACCGCACCGGTTTGCTTTCGCACAGGGACCTGTAGCCACGTGAGAAAGCGCCTGTGTTTTCAGTCTCAGATTTACCTGGTTGAGTTGGTATTTTCTGTTTGGGGTTTAAATTTTGCGTGTTTCCATACCATCAATCAGTGGACAGTACCATCGAGGTCGTTAAGAGCAACAGTATATACACAGTCTCTTCATTTCTGTCACACGGCGTTTTCTTCAGTTACTTTTTATGGAATGACATATTTTTGAACACGTAATTTTCTTGACAAGAAAGAATGTATAGAAGTCTCCCTGCAATTAATTTCCAGTGTTTACATTTTTAAACGAGACTGTGGAGTTTCTACAGATGAATGCGAGATGGAGCTCATGGTCTGTGTCTGTGTCAGAGGGGTTGCAGCGAAGCCCCGTGTGTCTTTTAAACACGTGCTGGACGCTCTCACTAAAAATGCCCGTTCTGACCGCACAGAGGTGGGTGGGAGCCCCGGGCACAGTCCAGCAGGGCTAATGACGCCTTTCTAACCTGTAGTGACCTGTTCCTCCACCTCCCCCTCCGGAGACCCTGGGCTGGCCGTGTGGAGGTCCCCGACCCACTGACACCCCCCCGCGTGGTACTGAGGGGGCTGCTCCTCCGTGCTCACCTGCGCCTCCCAATTTTCATGGATATGAATGTAAAATATATAAATATATGAACCTGCGGCTTTAACAACTGTAATTCGACTTTTGAATTAGTTACGTGTATAGATAATTAAATTCTTCATATAAAAGTTAGATGGAATGTCTCTGTGTTCTTGGGTGGGGACCTGGCAGCGGGCACGGGACGCCACACAGACCGGGTGCCCGCGGGTGGCCCGCCACCTGTGTCGGTGATGACCTTTGCTCTTTGAGACGCAGACACCATGAGGTCCTCACTGAGTCTTCTCCGACGTCCCTCCCCCTCACCCGGCTGCCGCCCTTCGGGCCCCTGTGTAAATGGCTGCCCCTAGAGTCCCGGGTTTGAGTGGTAGAATGACCCCCCAGCCTTGCGGTTCCTGTCTCATGGGGCTTTCGGGATTTATTATCAATAGGTGTGGGACTGGACTTGTACAAAGTATTTTTCCAAAAGATGTACTGAGTGTCTGTGAAACGTCCAGAAACCGTGCGGTAACAATGGGGACCCTCACCCTTTCCACACGGGTGTCCACCCGCCGTGCACACTTCAGGCTTGTCACCTTTGCAGAGATGAACCAGCGTCCACACTCACGACGCGGCCGCAGCGACCCTCAGTTCGTGAGCTTCGCGCATCCGTCCCCCACTGCCGCTCAGTGGAGAAGCCGGTCCCCCTCGTCAGTACAGTAACTGTTTAAGGGGATGCACGGGCGTGGGCGTCCTACTGGGTTCTGGGTGAGCGTGCTGCTCGGTCAGTAGAGATGGGGTCCCTGGCCCCATGGAGTTCAGGTTTAGGGGGAAACCAGCAGAAAACCATAGACCGTGTCAGTGTGCGTGGTGTGCGTGGTGTGCGTGTGAGGTAAGGAGGTGTGTCCTCGCCAGGAGACGTCTGGAGCGGGGGGATGGGAGGTGCGGGAGATATCAGAGAGCCTTCCCGGCATGGGGCGTTGGAGCTGAGGCCTGCAGGGTTAGCAGGAGCCCGGTGAGGCTGGAACGGGGAGTGGCCACTGTGGGTGGGGATGCCCCGAAGAGGCCAGGGGTGGGCAGAGGTCGCTGTCCCTGTACCCCACCCACTCCTGTGGCGCACCGGTCGAGGCCCAAGCCCCACCTCTTGTCTGCGAGCCCTTGGCCTGTGTGAGCCAGTGTTTCCTCTGCAGCCTTGCGTTTGACCGAAGGGACATATGACTGTCAAGGTGGGTGACACGCTGTCATGCTCTGCTCGGCACACCTCTTCCGGTGGCGCCTTCTCGGGAGATCAGTGCTCTGGCTGTCCTCGGGGTTCGTGACCCAGCGCAGCGCGTTCCCCAGTTAACAGCTCCACCCCTCACAAAGCGTTCCCCACGCATGTGGCCGTCGTCCAGTGTCCGTCGGAGCCAGGTCTCTAACCGGAGTGCGGGCTCCAGTGCCCAGGAACCTGGGCCCTGCCCCTGGCTGCTCACGGCCAGAAGGTCTGCCCTGTCCCTGGCTGCTGGGTGGTTTGGTGACCACTGTTGAGTGGCCCTCGTTGTTCAGTAAGTGCTCACCATGTATCTGCAGCGTGAAAAGTGTCCCGGAACCTTCACTGTATATTTTAAGCTTGGTCTTACTTGGGTGTCCTTTGCATGCTCTGCAGTTTGGTCTAGTTAAGCGACTTCAGTCATGTTAGCAGAGAATCGGGTTAACGAGAATAAAAGGGAGAGGAAGCATCCTCTAATCAAATACAGGGTATTTCCTTCGGCCCCACAGTTTAAAGATGTCAGTGTTCTTTTATCTTTAGCGGTTTGTTAATTGGTCATTAAACTGATGAATTTCATAATCAGTATCGACTTGTCTGTGGGGAAGCATTTGCAGCTGCACGTTGGATGCGGTTTGACTCTGGACGAGTCGAGAGCAGTGAGGGGCCCTTCTTGGCGATTTGATTGCTCCCCCGAGGCCTGGCCTCTCCCCACGCAGGGCAGAGCCTGGGCGTGGAAGGAAAGGCGGAGGCCGCTAGCCCCAGGCTGCCTCCGTGCCAGATGGTGTCTGGGAGATGCCGGTCTAAAGCAAGAACCGTTCCCCTGGTAAGTTAGAGCCTCACTCTTTACAGGTGCGGCGGAAACTGGCTTCCAGCCCGCTTCTCGAAGGGGCCGCAGACCCAGACTCCGTGGCTGGTGGACCTGGGGGCCCTCGTCCTCTTGAGACCAGCAGCAGGAAAACCCTCCAAGCAGCCGGTTTAACCATTTGAAATTGCCAGTACTCAGTTTCTGCCTAAAAACCTACGCTTTCCTGTGGTTCAGACTGATGCAGGACGGGGTTGCCTGGCACATGGTTTGTGTGGATCTGGTGGCTGAGCACGGGAGGAGGTGCTGGGTCCCAGGTCTCTGCCTGTCCTTCATCCGTGGGGTGGACACCAGGAAGGCCTTCCCGTCCTCCCTTTGGAGGTGGGCTCCCCAAAGCGCAGTGCCCGGGGAAGGGCTGATCCCGCAGCGCCTTGCTCTTCGGACCGAGGGTGCCGGGCATCGCCACCGTTGCCTGGGCAGGTCTCCCGCAGCATGGGGTCAGGGGAGCACGCTCAGGTCTTGGTTGCACAGTGGGCCAGACAAATCAGTCCTGCCTCCTGGCAAACTGAACGTGATTTCTGAGAGAACGTGAATGTTCATTTTTTTGTTCAAGCAGAAACTGAGTCAATCCTACTCATTCCTTTTAGTTCCAAAAGGTCCCAAGAGGATTTTTATAGAAACAACTTTGAAGGCCAGCAGCCCCTGAAAATGCATGGAAAAGTGGTGCCTTCAACAGACCTGATTTGTTATGTCCAGCGGGATGGGGGGAAACAGCGAGGTCACGGACCGCCAGGGCCGAGTGTGGGCGTCCCTTCCTCTGGAGAGTCCTCTGGCCTTTCTTGAAGAACACACCCCACGTGAGACCCCGGCACCCATGGCGTGTCGTTCCAGCCGAAGGTTTCCGGGGCCTCTCGGGAAGGCGCCCTTCTTTAAATGGAAACCTCTCCAGGCATTTTTAAATGATATGAGTTGAGTCACAGCACTTTAAGGTTTTGTTTGTAAAAAATGAGAATCTGCTGTCAAATCTTGTCAGTGCACTGTGCTGCTAAGCCATAATGTTGCTGTATGTTGTTACCAGGCTGAGAAGGAGAAGGACGGACAGGGGGAGAAAGAGACAGACAGATGGGTTTGCAGGGACAGGCACGCCTGTGTCTGCAGTTTGGTAGCTGCGGGGTGAGCGGTGAGGTCGCTGCAGGGCCAGCAGGCAGATAAGTGCCACTGCACAGATGATCCCGACAGAGGTGACCGATGCCGTTTCC